GGGTCATTTATGTCCGCGAGGCGATTTGCATCAACACATCGCAACGCAGTACATTTAGTTAGTCATGATGACATTGTTAAATCATTTTCGACTGAAGGCAACAAACTGATCTGCAATAAAAGGTATATCTTTATGACCGTCTGTCTGCTGTACTGCAGACTATTTATTAATCCAAGACTAATGCTCACTAATGCACTTCTAACTGGGTTCTATTTTACCAAGTTTATTGTTATCTTATCATTGTATTGTTTATTACAAAATTATTACTCGAAAACCATCTTATTAGTTAAATCCTCAATTACACCAACTTAGAGTTTAGTTATTGAAACGTAGTGAAAGTGAAATTACTGCATTGAAAATGTTTCTTTCGTAGGCGACATCTAAAAGAAAGATTAAATAAAATATACCTACAAATCTTTTGATTAACCTTTAGATAAAGTGTTACATAGTATGAATTATATTATCACATGATATTGACATATTGCAATCTAATCAATCGTTATCAAAACGCGTCGAATTTCTTCCTTGATTTTACGCGTTTTATTATGGTTGTTAAGTGCTGGTGTAAAGTCTGTTAGATCTCTTCTATTAACAATATTAGTTTGAGTGGTGGTAGTCTCAGGCCCGATGGATGAAGTCAAAAAGAAATCAATAGTACCATTCTTAAGACAAGTAAGTAAGTGTTGATAATATTTAATCTTTTTTACTGAAACAATAAAAAGTGAATCGGTTAATATCCACTAAGATACGTAACTTATGTACCTGCCATAACTTTGGCACTTTGGGGGTATTAATAAATAGATTAAACCAAAGTAAAAATGGCACTAGATACATAGATCGAACTTTCATTATTGAAAGTTAACGCGCCACAGCCAAAACTGCTGAAAATAATAATCTATTTGATAATAGATTTTCTTGGAAATCCTCGGAAGGAGATATTAAAGTAACTGTAAAAAGCTTGTAACATTTATTATTTTCAGCAGTTTTGGCTGTGGCGCGTTAAACATTTTCAGTTTTAGTTTAAGGCCGGGTAGCAGAGAAAATGGCGAAAATGAGGTTTTCATTTTTCATTTTTGAGGTACTAATCAGTAAAATGAAAGGCTAAGATTTTTATTGGGCATAGTTGNTTCTAAAGTGCAAGATTCTACAGATTAGCATTATCTACTTAATTTTAAGACTTTTATTAAATTATTGTAAATTAATCTCAATTAATACACATTTCCGAATTGTTTTTTGTGTCATTATCATTTGGTATTTGTATATTCGAGTTTAATGCCCGTTTTCACCATCAATCCTTAATTTTTAAGCGACCCCTATGGTAACACATAACAGGAATGTTGTTGTGAATTGGGATTGATGGTGAAAACGGGCACAAGTCTTCTTGAATCACGAATTCGAAGAAATTCGACGAACAGTACTATCTTTACGTAGAAAGCAGTTAAACCCGAGAATAAACCCTGTGGGTCTAGACAAAGTGCAAATTATAATCGCAAACCAGTCGAAAAGCCCCCTTTTTTGTATGGAGTTCTGACGGAATTGATTTTCGATTCGACCAAAAAGTGCGTTTTGTCTAGGGGGGCTGGTATAAACGGCACATTGACAGTTTCAGTATGGGAAATATGTCAAAACTGACGATTTATTCTGAGATTAATATTATTTACTCTTGGGTCATTCCATGACAAATGTTACCGAGGGTTAAAAACTAAATATGTTCTTTTCGCATTAAATCTGATGAATTTTGAAAGTAAACATTCTAAATTACTATTAATATAAATTATATAAAATTNAAACCAATGAGTTAAAATTACATTTTAATAGTACCTACATACAATCGTCTTACACTCTCTAGAAGAGCACACTGATACAAATAAATAATAAAAAATAAAAAGTAAAAATACGATCAAGCGTGAGCCGCATGTAAAAGGAGATAAATTAAAAAAAAGGATTAACAATTTATTTGTCACATATCGTCATAAGTTAGCCTATATGTTAATCTGGGTTATAAACAATAATACTGTAAAGTTTCAACAAAATCCAGTAGTTTTTGCGTGAAAGAGTAACAAACATCCAGACATTCAGACATCCAGACATCCAAACTTTCGCCTTTATAATATTAAGTAGGATAGGATAGGATATTTCACAATCCAAACTAATATTTACTATTTAGCATCTACTTACAGGAAACATTAGTTTGGATTGTGAAATATTTCAAATAAAAAAAAGAATAAAACAAAATTGGGTTTCAAATTACCTATCTTTATCTAATTTATAAAGAGGTAAAGTTTGTTTGTTTGTTAAATTGTAAGGGGTAATCTCGGGATCTACTGAACCGATTTTAAAAAATCTTTCACCAATAGAAAGCCACATTATATCTGAGTGTAATAGGTTATAGAAAAACCGAAAAATTCTACGCGGGCGAAGCGGCGGGCCGAAAGCTATTTTATTTATAATTATGTAAGAGCATAATTATTAAAGTCGAAGTCAAACATTCTTTATTTGTGTGGACCTATATTAACGAGAGATTACAAGGCGTCAAATACTTCAAGAAGAAAAAATTAGTATAAAGCTAAATTTTGCTCTCATGGAGCCTTTACCTACTCTGACAAATCAAGACTTAAAGAAGAAACTAATAATAAAACTATTCTGTCTTGCAATGAAAAGCTTGATCGGGTACAACACCTCAAGTTATTTTAGAACTTGATTTCATTAAAAGACTCCGAATATCTAATCGCTTAGGTATCTAAAGTGAAACGATTCTGAAATGTCAAGTGGCATAAAGTTGGGACTAATAAATAACCCATTAAGATAGTAGCGCCCTCCTGTCAATGACATACCTGGAACGATAGAGTATTGGACAACTAATAAAAATGCTTTTTCCTAAATGACTGACGGATATCGTAGAGACCTGAAAGTTGGAAGGTGTGTTCTTTGTATGACGTAGGCATCCGATTTTCCTAAATGGGGTCATGAAATGAAGGGGGTGAAAAAAGGGGGCAAAGTTTGTATGGGACAAAGTGATTCTTTGGTTCAATCTACTTGAAATTTTGCTTAACAATTCCTTAATATTATAATTCATGACAAACGTGTAAAAGGGATAGAACGTTATTTTGGGAGTCATTTGCTTCGAAGTTAATATCAATACTAGATACTTACTGCTTTTGATTTAATTACTTTTTATTTTTACAAGTGTTTGAAAACTCCATGTCAGATTGCAATCAATGTCAAGTGAAATCTCAAATTGAAATGTCTCAATCTCAATGAGGAGGCTCTGTATTTATTNTTCCAGTAGCATTCTTACATGTTGGAACGGCACAAGACGGCATAATTTAATTATAAAGTGTCAATCTGACGGATATGTAAACAATGCGCGCGCCGGCCATTGACTGATTGCTCTAAAGTCAAAGTAGTGCGATTTGGAGTACTTTATATGAATACACATTTACGCCCGTTGACGGTTTCTGGTTTGTTCCGTATTCTGAGGTTCTCAGAAAGGCATTTTTACACTAGTTTGTCTACAGCAGCGCCTGATGCTAAGTATTTAGTATCATTTCACACACACACGTCGGCCGTTTGGTGTAGTGGTTCGAAACGGGCTACTATTCCGAAGGTAGCGGGTTCGATTCCCGCACAGTACAAACATTTGTGTGCATGAACATATTTGTTTGTATTGGACTGGGTGCTTTCTATGTATGATAAGTATGTATTTACAAAAAAAAAGTATTTAAGTATGTTTATATCCGTTGTCTAGTACCCATAGTACAAGCTTTGCTTAGTTTGGGACTAGAAGCGCAGTGTAAAATGTCTAAGGATATTTATTATTTCAGTAAACTTTTATGAATTCTGGTGTTTTCTGCACAGGTCCCTTTCAAGGATTTTAAAGGGTGACAGCTGCGCCTAAGCATCGCCAGTTCACCACTCATTTTCACGTTTTAATTTCCTTGTTTCGAAGGGCATAATCAAGGGGCTTAGAGGACCCATTGTGGGGCATCTAGAACTGTCGAACTTCTATTAAAAGCAAGTAGTTCATAAAATCAAGTCAAAGATTACCTTCTTGTTACAATTATTTAAACGCCATAATATTTTTTTTATTTTTTTCCACAGTACCTTTCCGCTCAGCTTCAGATCGAAAATCTTATTGGTTTCAAATACATCTCCTCTTCGTTTCCCTGGAAACCGGGGCTTAATTTCCCTACGAGGGACAAGGAGCTGGATCTTCCGCTGCTTACGTCTAGCCAGCTTCTTGAGATATGGATTTTAGGAAATAGGTCCGAGAATCGAACCTAGTACGCGCATGCTACTTTTGCAAGTTTACTGCGCTACTACTCTAACTGCCATCAATTGAATCCTTTCGTTGCGGGTCCAATGACAGTTTAACTTTCCCCCGGGACAAACTTGACCTTCACTAGTTGGGTTATTGGCGGTAGATCCTGGCTACACAGGAGTTGCAGCGGTGGGAACGAGAGGTGGAGAGGTGGAATAGTCCCATTAATTGGGTCATTTAGGTCCGCAAGCTGACTTGCGTCAACACATCGCAACGCAGGACATTCACTCATGTGACATTGTTAAATCATTTTCACAAAAGGCGCTGATCTGCTATAAAAGATATAATATCTTTATGATCGTCTGTCTGTACTGCAGACTATTTATTAATCCAAGACTAATGCTCACTAATGCACTTCTAACTGGGTTCTATTTTACCAAGTTTATTGTTATCTTATCATTGTATTGTTTATTACAAAATTATTACTCGAAAACCATCTTATTAGTTAAATCCTCAATTACACCAACTTAGAGTTTAGTTATTGAAACGTAGTGAAAGTGAAATTACTGCATTGAAAATTTTTCTTGCGTAGGCGACATCTGAAAGAAAGATTAAATAAAATATACCTACAAATCTTTTGATTAACCTTTAGATAAAGTGTTACATAGTATGAATTATATTATCACATGATATTGACATATTGCAATCTAATCAATCGTTATCAAAACGCGTCGAATTTCTTCCTTGATTTTACGCGTTTTATTATGGTTGTTAAGTGCTGGTGTAAAGTCACTTAGATCTCTTCTATTATTAGTGTGAGTGGTGGTAGTCTCAGGCCCGATGGATGAAGTCAAAAAGAAATCAATAGTACCATTCTTAAGACAAGTAAGTAAGTGTTGATAACATCTAATCATTGCTGAATCATTAAAAGTGACACTTAACAACTTTTGCACTTTGGCGTCCTAAGTAGTTACTAATAAATAGTCTGAACCAAAGTTAAAATAACACTAGATACATTAGATCGACCTTTCAATCAAATAGATTTTCTTGGAAATCCTCGGAAGGAGATATAAAAATAACTGTAAAAAGCTTGTAACATTTATTATTTTTAGAAGTTTTGGCAGTAGTTCATTTTAAGTAGGTATAGTTAGTAATATTTATGAGTATTTAAATACATTTCAGTGTTTCGTGACGGCTGGTGTAAGCCTGAACGTGCTCGGGCATGGCGCTGTGGTGGGCTTCTCTGCCTTCCTCATCCCAGGGCTTCGGCAACCGGACTCACATATCAAAACTACTTTGGCGGATGAATCTTCTATTGGTAAGTCTTGAATCGTCCATTTAAAGTACATAATTATGCTTAGAGCCAATAATTAAGTAGGTACTTACTTGTCAGACCAGAAAAGAAAATTGTTGCACGAATTACAATAATAAAATAATATCATCTTAGTCACTCATTATCGTCATAATTTCAGGCCCAGGACGTCTACTGCTGAACATAGGCCTCCCCCAATGATTTCCATATTGACCGGTTGGTAGCGGCTGCATCCATCGCCTTCCTGTTATTATGAAGTCGTATTTATCACTTTAACGTCTTGTTCAGACAAAATTAGACAAAACTAAAGCCAGAATTACTACATGTTCTTCTCTGAAAATGTTTCTTGTTCTATTTTTCAGCATCCATCGTGGGCATCGCTCTGATCGTGGGAAACCTGATTATGACGCTCATCGCAGCGAGGTTAGGCCGGAAGAAATCCCACATCCTCACCACTATCCCGATCATCATTGGATGGATCATCATAGTCCTCGCCAACAGCGTCACAGCTCTCGTGTTTGCCAGGTTTCTCCAAGGAGTTTCCATGGGGATGCACGCGCCTCTAGGGTCAGTTATAGTTGCCGAAATGACCGATCCTGCGAATAGAGGAGCACTAATCTCGTGTCTCTCTCTTTCATTTGCCATAGGAAACTTCATCTGTCATACGGTCGGAGGATATTTGACCTGGCAACATAGCGCTCTGGCCATGTTAATCGTACCCTTTTCAAGTCTTATAATAATTGTGCTGTCTCCAGAATCACCGGCTTGGTTGATCTCCAAAGGACGGAACGATGAAGCCACAAAGGTTTTCTACTGGCTCCGAGGCAAAAGTGAAGAAGAAGACGCAGAGTTAGAAAGGATGATAACAGCACAGAGTGTGATCAGGAAATCAAGTGTCATTGGGCAGGACTTGCCTTTCAATACTTATAGTTTGGACTTTCGACGAGTGCAGACGTGCACATCACGCATTNATTATTAATACCCGAATAAGAAGGTTCTTGAGATACGTAAACGAGACCTTTAGGAAGCCTGAATTCTACAAACCCATTTTAATTATGATGTTTGTGTATATTACTTTCCAATTTTCTGGCACCAACGTCATCAACTCGTATGCATTAGACATCATAAAGCAACTAGTTGGTCCCGATGCAAACGCAAAATTCCTTCTAATGGCTATGGATGTCAACAGAATTATTTGCAGTTTGATAGCTGTTTTCTTGATGAGGAAGTTGAATAGGCGGACTATGTTAATCGGAAGTGGAGCAGCGGTTATTTTGTGCTACTATGCAAAGGGAGCGTTTGTTCAAGCAAAGCAAAGTGGAATACTGCCACCAGCACTAGAGGGGCAATGGCTTCCCATCCTGATTTTGGCTGTCTACGTCACTATGGCAGTTGGGTGTTCGATATTGCCTTTTGCGTTGGCTGGAGAGATATTTCCTCTGGCGTATCGAGGGTTAGCTGGAGGAATTAGCTCAACGCTATGGTCTTTGAACTACTTCATAGCTGTGAAGAGTTTTCCGATTTTGGTCGTGAATGTGGGACTACCTTTGACGTACTTGCTGTATGGTTGTGTGATGGTGGTCTGTTTGGTGTTTCTCTACTTTTCGTTGCCCGAGACGAAGGATAAAACCCTGCAGGCGATTGAGGATGGGTTCCGTGGGTTGACGGCAGCAGACAAGAAGGCTGCGGAGCCGCTTGCAGAAGAAAGTAAGGAGACTATGCGCAGGAACAGTTCTGTGATAATTATCAATTGAAGTGATAGGGAAATTAGGAATTTTATTAAACATTATTGTAATAATTGGGGTGTGTGGTCACCGACTGCTCACTGCCATTTGAAAGCTTTTAAGAAGAATAAAATAATAATAAGCATTTTATATGTATAGAAAGACTCGAAAATGTAGCCGACAGACTAAGTTACTTTAGCATTAAATGTACCTAATGTTAGTAGGTATAGATTATTATCATTTGTGATATTATATTATTAGAAAATAAAAGTTATCTCATTTTCGCGATTTTTTATTGTACTAGTAACTTACTATTACAAAAGCATCCATCTGATCTAGTCTTCATTCCTCCTTACATACGGGGCCAGCTCTTCGAGCTGAAAGCAGTTCCTTGGGGATCCATCTGTTCATTCAACCACCTTCCACCTTCCCCAGTTCCAGCATTCTCTCCTGCTCACAAGTATTCTCTCTCTTCAGTTCACTGCTGATGCCTTTGAAGTGACATTCGATCTCATACAACGTCTTTCCTTTAGTTTCTGGAAGCAAGAAGTACAGAAACCCCCCACAAATGGTGATACAAATGCCATAAACGCAAAACGTTCCGTTCACACCAATATTTTGGAACGAACTCGGAGCAGTCTTTACCACAACAAAGAACATAATCGACAGGAACATTCCAGATATTCCACTGCCCAAACTCCTGTAAGCCAACGGGAAGATCTCTCCAGCGATGGCCCAGGGAATTGGCAAAATGCCCAGCGTCTTCCCAAAGATGTATGTTAAAGTGGGAATGACGGGGATCCACTTATATTTTTCTGAGATATGCCCCAAATCTCGTAGAAAGAGTAGGATAGCTGCTAAGAATAGAGATATGACGCTGATGATGATGCCCAAGAAGAGTACAGTTCTTCTGTTCATTTTATTGACGACAACGCACGCCAGAACAGCGGTAGCGAATCTGACTACATCTACCATCAGCATGCTGGTGTTAGCCTCGATGCTGCCGCCTGATACCTCCTGCATCATGGGCACTGTATACGACGGAACTACAGTCATACCTGATATTTGGAACAGGACAAACATGAACATCATTATCACAGTCGGCTTATAAAACTCAGGTTTTCTCACAATGTTATTGTAATACTTCCATTTGGAGACTTTAGTGGTGACTACATTCTGCGTCTTCTGGCTGTTTAGCAAGACTTCTAGTTCTTTTTCTGAAGCGTAGTCATATCCTCGCAACCATCGGAAGGACTTGCGGCATTCAGCGTAGAGTCCTCTTGATGCTAGATAGGGAGGTGTTTCTGGGCTGAGAGAGATGAGTATCAGAGAGAGGGCGTAGAAACTGCCACAGGCGAGGCCAGCGGTCCTCCAGTAGAGGAAGGTGCCGAAGGTATGTGCCACCAGCATGCCAGTGGCAAAGGAGAAGGCAATGGTGGCCAGGAAGGCGCCGCGGTGCTTCGGCGCTGAGTACTCGGCGATGGATACGGGCGCCGACGCCGCCTGCAGGCCCATGGCGAAGCCCTGGAAATGAGAACAGACCACATAAGGATTGGAAAATTATAGTCACTTATGATTATCGCTACTAGCCGTCGAAACAAAGTAAAGTTCGCGACGGATTAAAATTTGTCTAGAAAAAAATATATTATGGAGCGAAAAAAAAGTTCAGTTAAAATACCAATGTGGTTACGATTGTAGAGTCTCGAGTATCCTAACTATACATTTACAATCCAAAGATCTAGGTATGTACTACTCGTTTAAGACAAAATGTTCAGAATAAAGCGTGGAGGTGTGTCGTTTACCTAAAATAACTTCAACTCCGTAAGCAGTGTCCACGTTAATAATGACAACGATAAGACTAACATTCGTATCTCATAAGTATCTTTTTAGCACATCCTGACTAGTACTAGTAGTATTATAGTAGTCTGTGTGTGAATCAAATAAACAGGTCCTGTCTGGGAGCACTAAGCTACGGTCACAGCGTGCGCTCGCGATGCCGGCCGAGCCGGTTTGCCGATCCGGCCTTTGCGCTTTGACGTCATATGTTGCGGGTTTACCTTACGAAGATTACCGGCCATGAAGTTAACTTTGCTAGAGCACTGAACCTGTGTAATTAAACTATATCTATAAAAGCGAAAGGTCACTGATTGACTGACTCACTCATCACGAAATCTCAGAAACTACAAGTGCTAGGAGTCTCAAATGAAGGTTCCTTTTAGAACGTAGGTGCTCATTAGGACGGGATTTTGCAAAATTCAACTCCTAAAAGGGTATAACGGGATCCACGCGTACGAAGTCGCGGGCGGCCGCTATATAAAAACTATAAATTAAATCATAGAGCTTCATCATCGTCGTCATCATTTCAGCCACAGGATGTCCACTGCTAAACATAGGCCTCCCCCAATGATTTCAATGATTTCAATAATGGCCAGTTGGTAGAGGCCTGCATCCAGCGCCTTTCGCTACCTTTATGAGGTCGTCGGTCCACTTTGTGGGTGGATGTCCTACCGGAAAGCGAAGCGTCGAGCTTCTCAGCAGATATTTAAGTATAACATTTGGTAACAAATAATCTATTAGACCTTGAAATCATCATGTCAATGCCCTATGATGTTCTGCTAGTTTTGAAACCATTAGGAAAGAACCGTGACCTATGAAGTTTCAACACTTATAATTGAGTTGTATTATTTAAACTTGTAGAGAATGAGTTGTTAAGGCTGATTTGTAAGTTTATAAGATAAACCAATGTCTCAACTCACTGTAAAAGAGCCTTTCCCAAATCTTCAGAGCTACATTAAAGACAAAAAATCACTTTTTTGGAACAAAAAAAAACATCTACACTTTATTAAATTAGAATTAATAAATCATTGTTCGTTATTAGACTAGGTACTATACTGACTCTATCAATCATAATTTAAACTAGATCTAGATTCCAGAGTCCAGACGCAAACATAAAAGCAATTGGTGATTGAACTTATTGACCTGCTTGATTTATCAATCAAAACGAGAAACAACAAATTGGTGTAAATACCTACGCCTTGTTAAATTTATACGCAGACTTCTATAAATATTTATCACTGATTTCCATTGAATAATACTGAATTGAAATCACGATGTCGCGAAGAAAAATATTTAACTTGATTTCTTATAAAAGTTTTTGCACAGCATCAACAAAACAACCTAGTGTTTTAAATTTTCTGTGTAAATACGAAACAAAACCACAAATAACTAGTTACTGGATGTTTTAAGTATGGAGCTATTATCACGGATATTAGGTACAGAGCAACAGTTAATTTAACTGATTGTTATGCTATTTTATTACTGAGCAAACAAACAAAGCATTTAGTTGCGCTATTTAATGATGTCGTATGTGCACCTAATAGGTATTATGTAAAGAGGCTGAGTGTGTAATAATTAACTAAGTATTATGTACACCTGGTTACACATTAGACTGATCACAGTTTATTTAAATTCTAAATTGTTCAAATGTAAATACAGAGTGTTAGGTAAATGGGTATATGAGCCGACACTAGCCCATGTTAACATGGGCATATAAATGGTATGGTAAAGTCAGAAATTTGATATCATCATTTATTTTTTTTAATTTTCATACAAAATAATTTTTATAAATTCCGATTTGTATGAAAATTAAAATAATTAAAATGAAGATATCAATTTTCTGACTTCACCATACCATTTATATGACCATGTTAACATGGGCTAGTGTCGGCTCATATACCCATTTACCTAACATCCTGTAGAACAGAGATGTGACAAAACACTTCTGGATGGAAGGAGTCAGTTATTTCAGTAAATTATCTCTGCAGCGATCTACTGATAAGCAGCAGGTCCTTTAGCTGATATCATCAGAGCCCAGCCGCCTAATGCTGGGAGACAGCTGAGCTGGTTGGTGAGCCTAATGACAGATATGTAGCAGAACATTGGATGAAAATTACCTGCAAAGATGAGCAGTACAGCTGAGAGGCCTTTGGACTCGAGAACCAGCACCCAGTAAATGTGAAAGTAACTTACTTAAAAGTAGCTGACAGAAACAAAACTCTGCTGGATTGAAGATAAATTACCTGCAGAGATCTACTGATGAGCAGCGCAGCTGATCCCTTAGCTGATATCATCAACTCCCAGCCTCTCATACTGAGACTGCAGTTGAGCTGGTAAGTTGACTACAGACTGTCATTGCTGGATGGAAGAAAGATTACCTGCAAAGACCTACTAATGAGCAACGAGACAGGTTTCTTAGCTGATGTCATCAGCGCCTAGCCCTCTAATGGCAGCTGTGCTGGTTGGAAAGATTACGACAGAAATATAGCAGAACAAGAACCTGATTGAAAGGGTGCGAGCAATTCTAAAACCTATATTTACCTGTAAAGACCTACTGATGAGCAGCGCAGCAGGTCCCTTGGCGGAGATCATCAGCGCCCAGCCGCCCAGCGCTGGGAGACAGCTGAGCTGGTTGGTGAGCCGACGACCAAGACGTTGTAGGCTGAATGGAGCTACCACGATGCCGCTGATGAGTGCCAGGCCCAGGATTGAGGCTGGAAGAAGCAGTATGCAGATTGAGCTTGAACCCAACCATTGAAGGTCAAGTTTTTCCCGGGGGAAAATTAAGTTGTCATTGGACCCGCAACGAAATTTCATAAACATAGGAGGAATTTTAATTAATCAGTTCTTCAGAGGAATTCGAAGCTAAGGTTTTTATTGGCGGTCAAGCTGTAGATCCTGGCTACACAGGAGTTGCAGTGGTGGGAACGAGAGGTGGGAATAGTTCCGTAGATTGAGCTTGAACATAAAATTGATGCTGATGATGATTATTGATTGATTATTACAATTTCCTTTTGAGACTTCCTCAGGTACTAGTAAAGTTGTGTCTGTAGGAAGCAAAGTCCTCTCATCATTATAATTTCAGCCACCGGACCACTGCTAAAAAAAGACACCCCATGGAAAAGACAGTTGCTAATTAAGTATAGAGAGATCTAGAGGGAAGAGTGACGTAAGTCTTTCTTTCCAGTCTTTGTAGCGTCCTTCGTGCGTTTATGTAGGTTTAAGTAAAAACTACACCATCATCATCAATTCAGCCACAGGACGTCCATTGCTGAACATAGGCCTCCAATGACTTCCACCTTCGCCTTCCTGCTACCTTTATCAGGTCGTCGGTCCACCTTGTCTTGTGGGTGGACGTGTCACGCTGTGTTTTCCGGTACGTGGCCTTCACTCCAGAACCTTGCTGCCCCATCGGCCGTCAGTTCTGCGTACTATGTGCCCTGCCCATTGCCACTTCAGCTTGCTAATCCGTCGGGCTATGTCAGTGACTTCAGTTCGTTTACGGATCTCCTCATTTCTGATTTGATCTCGTAAAGAAACACCGAGCATTGCCCTTTCTATAGCACGCTGTGCAACTTTAAAAACTACAACCATTATATTACTTGAAACCTACATTATATCGGTGTACCTATGTCATTATCGGTGTTTGCCATGCGGGAATTAGAACTACCTGGTGCAATCAATCAGTCTAGGTGATAAACTGATTAATCACCTCCGACAAACAAACGATTGTTTTTTTTTACCACTTTAATGTATTTGACATTCATTGTGAGGCGCAAGCATCTTCGACCTTGACATTATAGTAGAAGTGTTCGATAAATACACTCATTTATTACGCAATGCAATATTTCTGCGATATCTTGATATTTATACAAATAAATCAAAGTAGCAGGCTATAAATTTTGGCTATATGTATTTACGATCCACATAGACAAACATTCTTTTTTCGTTTATCTGTATGAGTTTTGCAAGCTTTTATACCAAAACTTAAACATTCCTACTAAATACCTTGCTGAAATTACTACAAGGTGGATCGACGACCTCTTAAAGGTAGCAAGAAGGCACGCTGGATGCAAGCCTCTACCAACCGGTCAATATGGAAATTATTGGGGGCGGCCATGGGGGCGGCCTATGTTCAGCAGTAGACGTCCTGTGGCTGAAATGATGATGACTATGACTATGAATTGCTGAAATTGCGTTTAGGCCAACAAGAGCTTAGGAAACAACTGCCAATGCACTGACTTAAAGATTGTTATCAAAATGCATAGCTAGCTGCGGGAAAAAACTAACAACTATACGATATCAAATTATTATACACTCAAAGTAGGCTTACAAAACAACTGACGCATGTCTATGGTAATTTGAGATTGGATTGAATGAAACATTATAATTTGCGCAGAAAATTATTAGTTTCCCACCCCGACAACGTTATTAAAGCTACTTATATTTGGAACTGATATAACATAATTAGCCATATTTGGCTTTAGGTAATCAAAGATCAGTGAAGAGGTAGAAATATGAAACTTTACAATGAAGAATGTTCACTAATTTTGTTTTTTAGCTTTCTGTATTCTCTGTTAAAAATAAAAAATACACGTGAAAGAATTATTTCGATACGTCAATTAGTTTCCAAGATATTGAATTTTAAAAGTGCGGGCGGCGGNAGTTCTTCTGTTCATTTTATTGACGACAACGCACGCCAGAACAGCGGTAGCGAATCTGACTACATCTACCATCAGCATGCTTGTGTTAGCCTCGATGCTGCCTCCAGACACCTCTTGCATCATAGGCACTGTATACGACGGAACTACAGTCATGCCTGATATTTGGAAAAGGACAAACATGAACATCATTATTACAGTCGGCTTAAAAAACTCAGGTTTTCTCACAATGTTATTGTAATACCTCCATTTGGAGACTTTAGTGGTGACTACATTCTGCGTCTTCTGGCTGTTTAGCAAGACTTCTAGTTCTTTTTCTGAAGCGTAGTCATATCCTCGCAACCATCGGAAGGACTTGCGGCATTCGGCGTAGAGTCCCCTTGACGCTAGATATGGCGGTGTTTCTGGGCTGAGAGAGATGAGTATCAGAGAGAGGGCGTAGAAGCTGCCACAGGCGAGGCCAGCGGTCCTCCAGTAGAGGAAGGTGCCGAAGGTGTGTGCCACCAGCATGCCAGTGGCAAAGGAGAAGGCAATGGTGGCCAGGAAGGCGCCGCGGTGCTTCGGCGCTGAGTACTCGGCGATGGACACGGGGGCCGATGCTGCCTGCAGGCCCATGGCGAAGCCCTGGAAATGAGAACAGGCCTCATTTTAATTGGGAGTTAATGTGATATGTTTGCATGAGGTATGATGGTGCGCTTCTGGTTCAGGTAAATGTCATTTGTCTGATCTAGCACTGGAATCTATCACCCTGTATTAAAGAATGAATCGACCCGCCAAACTTGATTTTAACTCAAGAATTAATTCAATAATTAATTCGCAAGAAAGAACTATGTAAGTTTAATCTGTTCACATAAGAGAATATGTAATCCTAACAAAACATACTAGGAAAGAAAGAAACATTTAGGTATTAGGTACAATGAATAGTATGACGTATGTGTGAATCAAATAAACATTCTCTGTCTGGAAGCACTACGGTCACAGCGTGCGCTTGCGATGCCAAGCCGGTTTGCCAATCCGGCTTTTGCGCTTTGACGTCACATGTTGGAGGTTTACGTTACGAAGATTACCGGCCATGAAGTTAACTTTGTTAGAGAGCACTGAACCTGTGTAATTAAACTATATCTATAAAAGCGAAAGGTCACTGATTGACTGACTCACTCATCACGAAATCTCAGAAACTACAAGTGCTAGAGTCTCAAATGAAGGTTCCTTTTAGAACGTAGGTGCTCACTAAGACGGGATTTTGCAAAATTCAACTTCTAAAAGGGTATAACGGGATCCACGCGTACAATGTATTGGTGAACCAAATAAATAAATAGATAAGTCGCGGGCAGCCGCTATATTAAAAACTATAAATTAAATCATAGAGCTTCATCATTTCGTCATCATCATTTCAGCCACAGGATGTCCACTGCTAAACATAGGCCTCCCCCAAAGATTTCAATGATTTCAATAATGGCCAGTTGGTAGAGGCCTGCATCCAGCGCCTTCCGCTACCTTTATGAGGTCGTCGGTCCACTTTGTGGGTGGATGTCCTACCGGAAAGCGAAGCGTCGAGTTTCTCAGCAGATATTTAAGTAGGTATTTGGTACATTTGGTAACAAATTAATAACCTTTAAGGCCTTGAAAACATCACGTCAATGCCCTATGATGTTAACTGCTAGTTTTGAAACCATTAGGAAAGAACCGTGACCTATGAAGTTTCAACACTTATAACTGAGTTGTAAACTTGTAGAGAATGAGTTGTTAAGGCTGATTTTTGTAAGTTTATAAGATAAACCAATGTCTATTAATACGGGACTGTAAAAGAGCCTTTCCCAAATCTTCAGAGCTACATTAAAGACAAAAAATCCCTTTTTTGGAACAAAAAAAAACCATCTACACTGTATTAAATTAGAATTAATAAATCATTGTTCGTTATTAGACTAGGTACTATACTGACTCTATCAATCGTAATTTAAACTAGATCTAGATTCCAGAGTCCAGCCACAAACATAAAAGCAATTGGTGATTGAACTTATTGACCTGCTTGATTTATCAATCAAAACGAGAAACAACAAATTGATGGAAATACCTACGCCTTGTTAAATTTATACGCAGACTTCTATAAATATTTATCACTGATTTCCATTGAATAATAATGAATTGAAATCACGATGTCGCGACGAAAAAAACTTAACCTGGTTTCTTATAAAAGTTTTTGGTCATTACTACAGCATCAACAAAACAACCTTGTTTTTTAAAAAATAAATTCCCGTGTAGTATTAAAGTAAACGAAACAAAACCACAAGTAACTAGTTACTAGCTATTATCTCGGATATTAGGTACAGAGCAACAGTTAATTTAACTGATTGTTATGCTATTTTATTACTGAGCAAACAAACAAAGCATTTAGTTGCGCTATTTAATGATGTCGTATGTGCACCTAATAGGTATTATGTAAAGAGGCAGAGTGTGTAATAATTAACTATTATGTACACCTGTACACATAGACTGATCACAGTTTATTTAAATTCTAAATTGATAATATGTAAACATTAAGAATATGAACAGACAGAGATGTGACAAAACTCTGCTGGATTGAAGGAGTCAGTTATTTTAGTAAATTACCTGCAGTAAAGACCTACTCATGAAACGTACGTAGGTCCTTTAGCTGAAATCATCAACGTCCAGCCCCCAGCGCTTAAAGGCATCGATAGAGTTGTTCAGCGCCCAGCTCCCTAATGCTGGGAGGTAACTGAGCTGGTTGATGCAATATTTTCTTCCAAATTACCTGTAGCGATCTACTGATGAGCAGCGCAGCAGGTCCTTTAACTGATATCATCAGCGCCCAGCCGCACAATGCTGGAAGACAGCTGAGCTGGTTGGTGAGCCTAATGAAAGATATGTAGCAGAACATTGGATGAAAATTACCTGCAAAGATGAGCAGTACAGCTGGGTCCTTTGGATGAGATACTCGAGAACCAGCACCCAGTAAACGTGGGAGTACTTACCTACTTAAAAGTAGCTGACAAAAACAAAACTCTGCTGGATTGAAAATGGCAGCTGAGCTGGTTGGAAAGATTACGACAGAAATATATCAGAACAAGAAGCTGATTGAAAGGGTGCGAGCAATTGTAAAATCTATATTTACCTGTAAAGACCTACTGATGAGCAGCGCAGCAGGTCCTTTAACTGATATCATCAGCGACCAGCCGCCCAATGCTGGAAGACAGCTGAGCTGGTTGGTGAGCCTAATGACAGATATGTAGCAGGACATTGGATGAAAATTACTTGCAAAGATGAGCAGTAGGTACAGCTGGGTCCTTTGGATGAGATACTCGAGAACCAGCACCCAGTAAATGTGGGAGTACTTACTTAAAAGGAGCTTACAGAACAAAACGCTGCTGGCTGAAGGAGATATTACCTGCAGCGATCTACTGATATCATTATTGTAACATTGTAACATTATTGTATTTTAATTGTAATGTAAAATTATGTAAACTAATTAATTTTATAATTTATCGATATTAATAATTATTACTAACTATTGTAGAATATTTAGTAATGTACCTACGATACAAGATTTGCAACACCCTTACAGGGTCATAAGTTGAGACTAAGTTTAAGATCACCACCTATGTACACTTATGAAGCAATAAATAAATGATTAATGATTAATGATCATCAGCCCCCGAGCGCTGGGAGGCAGAAGAACTGATTAAGGCAGCTACAGAGCTGGTGAGAGCGCGAATAGCAGAACAGCGTTGCTGTCCAGTGCTTGGTTAAAGCAGATAGGAGGTGAAAGTTCCACTATATTACCTGCAAAGACCTACTGATGAGCAGCGCAGTAGGTCCCTTAGCTGATATCATCAGCGCCCAGCCACCCAGCGCTGGGAGACAGCTGAGCTGGTTGGTGAGGCGACGACCGAGGCGCTGCAGGCTGAACGGAGCTACCACGATGCCGCTGATGAGCGCCAGGCCCAGGATGGAAGCTGGAAGAAGCAGTATGCAGATTGAGCTTGAACCCCACCAGTAAAGGTCAAGTTTGTCCCGGGGAAAGTAAAACTGTCATTGCACCCGCAACGAAATTAATCAGTTCTTATAGGAGGAATTCGAAGCTAAGGTTTTTATTGGCGGTCAAGCTGTAGATCTTGGCTACACAGGAGTTGCAGCGGTGGGAACGGGAGGTGGGAATAATCCCTTAGATTTAGCTTGAACATAAAATTGATGCTGATGATTGATTATTGCAAATTCCTTTTAAAACATCCTCAGTACCTGTGTTGGGACTGAAGAAGTAAAAGTCCTCTCATCATTTCAGCCACAGGTTCACTACTTACTAAACAAAGACACGCCAGTACATGACTGCTGCTAATTAAGTAAAGAGAGATCTAGAGAGAATAGAGGGAAGAATTGCGTATTGTCTTTCTTTCCAGTCTTTGTAGCGTCCTTCGCGCGTTTATGTAGGTTTAAGTAAAAACTACATCATCATCATCATCAATTCAGCCACAGGACGTCCATTCCTGAACATAAGCCCCAATGACTACCACCTTCGCCTTCCTGCTACCTTTATCAGGTCGTCGGTCCACCTTGTGAGTGGACGTGTCACGCAGTGTTTTCCGGTACGTGGCCTCCACTCCAGAACCTTGCTGCCCCATCGGCCGTCAGTTCTGCGTACTATATGCCCTGCCCATTGCCACTTCAGCTTGCTAATCCGTCGGGCTATGTCAGTGACTTCAGTTCGTTTACGGATCCCCTCATTTCTGATTTGATCTCGTAAAGAAACACCGAGCATAGCCCTTTCTATAGCACGCTGTGCAACTTTAAAAACTACAACCATTATATTACTTGAAACCTAGATTATATCGGTGTATGTCATTATCGGTGTTTGCCATGCGGGAATATACCGTATAAGAAGAACTACCTGGTGCAATCAATCAGTCTAGGAGATAAACTGATAAATCACCTCCGACAACCGACAAACAAACGATTGTTTTTTTTACCTCTTTAATGTATTTGACATTCATTGTGACTCGCATTAGCATCTTCGACCTTGACATTATAGTAGAAGTGTTCGGTAAATAGGTAGGTACACTCATTTATTACGCAAAGCAATATTTCTGCGATATCTTGATATTTAAATACAAATAAATCAAAGTGGCAGGCTATAAATTTTGGCTATAAGTATTCACGATCCACATAGACAAACATTCTTTTTTTGTTTATCTGTATGAATTTTGCAAGCTTTTATACCAAAACTTAAACATTCCTACTAAATACCTTGCTGAAATTACTACAAGGTGGATCGACGACAAAGGTAGCAAGAAGGCACGCTGGATGCAAGCCTCTACCAACCGGTCAATATTTTATGGAAATCATTGGGGGAGGCCTATGTTCAGCAGTAGACGTCCTGTGACTGAAATGATGATGATATTGTATTTAGGCCAACAAGAGCTTAGGAAACTAAACTGTCGGTGCACTGACTTAAAGATTGTTATCAAAATGCATAGCTGCAGGAAAAAACTAGTCCCGATATCAAATTATGACACTCAAAGTAGGCTTACAAAACAACTGACGCATGTCTATGGTAATTTGAGATCGGATTGAAACATTATAATTTGCAGAAAATTATTAGTTTCCCACCCCGAAAACGTTATTAAAGCTATATTTGGAACTGATATAACATAATTAGCCATATTTGACTTTAGGTAATCAAAGATCATGGGTAGTCTTGCCTGGAGTCTTTCAGGAGTTCTGAATAATTTTATTTTGCGATGTGCTCTTTCTGAAAAAAGCTTTTCAAGAAAAAAATCCAGGTAACTTATTTTTTTTTTTTCGAATCAAAGGACTAATTTGATGATGACATTTGATCTCTACTGCAGGAACACGACTCTCTTATTTACATGATCCAAATGGATATTTCTTCCTCAATCGATTACCTACCGCATCCACGGCCCACGGGAAGAGTGGGCGTAATATTTTTACTCCTCATGAACTATAAAATGGGAAATGACTGTTCTAGCAGTTTCAATAGGTCGTCTGACAGTTAAAAAAGCAAGTACAAACCTATCCACGACTCATGTTCGGGCGTGAGCTGGACAGTCGAGCCTGGTTCCCGCAACTGCACCAGCAGCACTCCAGGGTACGCGATATTGGCGCCGGTGCCGATCATGTACAGCACTATGCCGCTTACTGCCAGCAGCTGGGGGAAGATGTGTTAGTTTAGATATACAGGAGGTCCCAAAATGAGCACGTCACACCTGACCTGACATCGGAGGTAGATGGGCTTAAGACTAGGGACGTTATGGATATGTAGTTTCGGTTATGGATACGGTTACGGATATAGGTATAATATTATACCGGTTTCGGTTACGGTTACGGATATTTTTTTATTTCGGATATCCGAAAGTTTCGGTTACGGTTACGGATATCTGTGCTTTAGAATGCAATATGCAATAGTTGTCCAACACGGTTCATTCATATAGTTCCATGCTTCTAAGGCCCATCTACCACCGGTATTTCAGCGTGCTAATTTTAGGACACTGTTAAGCAATATTTTTTACAACAACAAAACAGTGTTAGCTCATAAAATTTTACTCTTGGAGCAAACAAACTGGTTTGCTGCATTCTAGATGGATGGATGGATGCATACGTATTGGAAAGGATCGAGAGAAACAATACATGGCATCCTTTTAGGATTACAACATTTATTACTATTATTAAATAAGTAGGTACCTGTTTCAGGAAAGGAGGCACCCTCTGTTTATGAACCCCCTCCGCCATCTTGGATGCTGATTTATAAGCTGCCTTCACTGAAAGTGTAGTTTCATCGCATTCCTCACCGCCTGAAAAGATAAAACAAACTATTACGGTTACGTTGTGGAAGGCAAGCTTTAGGGCTATATTTCACCGGGACACCATGGCGGCGCAACCAGTCGCCGGCTACCAACAAAATGTATGCAGCTCTATAGAGAGTTACTCACCTGGTGACTGTTTGGTTGCGCAAAGCTCTATACATTTGGTTGGTAGCCGGCGACTGGTTGCGCCGCCATGGTGTCCCAGTGAAATATAGCCCTTAGTCTAGGCGCAGACCATCGACTTTTAGTTGGCCGATAGTTGGGCCCGATTCTAATTTGTATAAAGAATCGGCCGATACCAAATCCATGTAATGTGCACACTTCCGTATGGATGAACATGTATATGTTCATACTGATCAACAGCCCGACCAAACTATCGGCCAACTAAGAGCGCTTTCACATTAGGGCGTTAGTAGCGCGACTGCAGCTCGGCAGCGGCGTTTTTATAATGTGAAAGCATGCATCTGCTGTTCCGTTGTCACATAGTATGAAATTTTTGGCAGCGCGTCTGTCGCGCGTTTGACGCGCTGCTAAATCGTCTAAATGTGAAAGCGCTAGTCTAAAAGTCGGTGGTTAGCGCCTAGGTTTAGCGAGAGAAGTACTCGACTACACTTTTACCTGTTACAGTCTAGAAGACATTCGCATAATTAATGTTGTTTAAGTAGCCAACGTCATTAATTTGTCATTTTAAATGAGTTTAGCAGGTCAAGGTTGCTATTTCTACGTCAGAATTTCCAATCTATGTAACTCGAGCTTTCTCTATCCAATGGACAGGTTTCTCACACAGCGTTAACCTATTGCGGTTTTCCTTTTTACATAGGCTAGAAAAGGATCTATAACAACCAATATTTATGAGTGATGATGAACGATAAACTCTACTTTTCATGAAACAAAAAATACGATACTTATGCCCGCTTTCACCACCAATCCCTAATTTTTAAGTGACCTCTATGGTAACACATAACAGGAATTTTGTTTTCATAGGGGTCACTTAAAAATTAGGGATTGATGGTAAAACGGGCATTAGTCTTATTAATTTCTGAAAAGTCATTGTCAATCCTTAGGGTAGCAGCGCAGCGAAAGAAATCACTTTGTTTTGGTCAGGGTTTTGGGCCGACGCTGGGTTTGTTGTCGACACGACAAGAAGAAGAAGGGTTGATTTTCTATATTATAGAAAATAGCCACAGACCACCATGAGTCATGCATATTTTCTATAAATAATAAAATATGCTTCCTTTACAGCACTGATTACATAATCGTGCTCTTATCTTACTACATCACTACATGTTAGAGGAAAATGAGGGGGCAATTTTGTGTTTACACACAATTTACTTGTCGTTTTACTTATGTAATAGCTCGATTAACACCTTTGCTGCGGCAGTAACTTTTTAATACTTTCCATTCCTTCGGTACAAGGTCAATAAACCTGGTATTAAAACTTACATTGTGGCGGCACAAGGCTTAAAGACCTTGTAATATTTAAGATATATTAATTTTATTTTTGGCTTCATGTTAATNAATTTCCAATCTATGTAACTCGAGCTTTCTCTATCCAATGGACAGGTTTCTCACACAGCGTTAACCTATTGCGGTTTTCCTTTTTACATAGGCTAGAAAAGGATCTATAACAACCAATATTTATGAGTGATGATGAACGATAAACTCTACTTTTCTTGAAACAAAAAATACGATACTTATGCCCGCTTTCACCACCAATCCCTAATTTTTAAGTGACCTCTATGGTAACACATAACAGGAATTTTGTTTTCATAGGGGTCACTTAAAAATTAGGGATTGATGGTAAAACGGGCATTAGTCTTATTAATTTCTGAAAAGTCATTGTCAATCCGGGTCCGTGGCCGAGTCCCCCAGTATTTGACGCACCCGTGGTGGACGCCCCCGATTTAAATAAATTTAATATCATATTTTTTTCGGCTTTTGCACTAAGTACAGTCAACGAAAAAAGTTTCACAAGCTAATTATTATACTAAACTATGCATTTTTGACGCTATTTATGCAATCTGGGAGCAAAATTTTAACCCAAAACCAGCAGTAGTAAGAAACAAAAAACTTTTGTAGGAATTATTTTCATTTCATTAGATTCATTTTTGTGTTTAATTCTACTGGCCTAATAAATATTTATTCGTTTATAAACTTTTTTGTGCCTGACTGTACATTTGATTAAAAATTGCTTCAAATCGAATTTAACTGACCGGGGGCGTCGACCACGGGTGCGTCGAAAACTGGGGGACTCGGCCACGGACCCGTCAATCCTTAGGGTAGCAGCGCAGCAAAAGAAATCACTTTGTTTTGGTCAGGGTTTTGGGCCGACGCTGGGTTTGTTGTCGACACGACAAGAAGAAGAAGGGTTGATTTTCTATATTATAGAAAATAGCCACAGACCACCATGAGTCATGCATATTTTCTATAAATAATAAAATATGCTTCCTTTACAGCACTGATTACATAATCGTGCTCTTATCTTACTACATCACTACATGTTAGAGGAAAATGAGGGGGCAATTTTGTGTTTACACACAATTTACTTGTCGTTTTACTTATGTAATAGCTCGATTAAACTCATCATTATTATTTCAGCTAATGGCAGTCCATTTCTGGACAAAAGCCGCCATAGACAAGAAGATTAATATTTGATAGAAGAAGAATATGCTCTTCACCAAAATTCATCAAAATTAATTTTAAAATTATTTTAATAGCTTAAAACTGCACTTAGACTCAGGCATGCAATACCTACAGACAGACTAAAAAATTGTTGCAAAAGATTTTCGTATATATGAACTTTAACAATGGCAAAGTTTAAAATAACCACTTCGTTTAAAATAACTCGAGTTTCTAACCACAGTCTAAACCAACAATCAAAGTAATTCAGGTCATTATGTTTGTAGCGTTTTGATTCAGACATGTGTAATAAATAGATCTAACGCATAAGCGTCAGTCAATATCTGAGGTACCTACCTATGGGAGGGACACGGGACGTCAAATGTCAGCGAGACTTCAGATTTGTATGCTCTGTTGTCACGTCATCATCATCATCATCTCAGCCATAGGACGTTCACTGCTGAACATAGGCCTCCCCCAATGCTTTACATGTTGCGCGGTTGGTCCTTCGTCCAGCGCCTTCCTGTCACGTCATAACCTGTCAAAATCTCCCCTTCCGTGCCGCTTCCACACCTCAGGCACTTCGGGACTATTCCCACCTCTCGTTCCCACCACTGCAACTCCTGTGTAGCCAGGATCTACAGCTTGACCGCCACAAAAAACAAACCACTGAAGGTCAAGTTTGTCCCGGGGCAAAGTTAAACTGTCATTGGACCCGCAACGAAATTAATCAGAAGAACATAGGAGGAGTTCGAAATTACAATAGTGACTGAGTTTCTTGCGCTGCTTCTTCTCAGCACTGGCCCATTTATTGTCCCGAAGCAGTGGTAGGGTTAATATTGGGACGTGTAAAAGCGCTTTTTAAAAGCCTATTTGCAAAAATAAATGAATTTTATGAATTTTACTAACACCTCAGGTACTGACTGAGTTAAACGGTAGACTTGTAATAGGTTGTAATTCTGGCGATGACATGTGATGAATAGGCAAAAAAATGAGGCAAACGACGACGCCATAGTTCCTGTTTCCTTGTAAGAACGTGTCGACATTTTTTGCTGATTAAAAAGAAGCAGTATGTCTTTAAAGTTGTCATTGAGCAAAAACTAGATATCTTTACTAAGTGCATCTTAGATCTTGTTTACGATACGAGTGTCATATATCTTCTTTTAGATAATCTTCAGTAGGTACGACTGAAACATACTGCTGATTTTAAAGTGCGAACTAGAATGGAGCTGTACAGTGTACAATTGTACCTTAATGATTGACAATAATATTATTATATGTTGCAAGAACGTTCTGTAATCACAAACGCAATTATTTTTGACTTTGATTAACAGGAACCTTTCTCTCCACACCATTGCAAAATTAATTAGGACAGTATTTGTTAGCCAACAGTTTTATTGTATTGGCGAAACCGAAATTGGAGTTATAACAATGGTTAACTGGTAGAGAGTGCCATAAATACGGCATTAAGTTCACCTTTTGTACTGTAATTTTCTTGTGTGCAATAAAGCTATAAACAAAATTAATTAATGCTACTGACAACACCACTCTTGTAGCGGAGCTTTGGGCTGACACTACAAGAAGAAAATAAGTATCTATAGTATGTATAAAATAATATAATTTGCTCGTAGTATGTACATATTTAAAAGTAAGTACGGGTCTTCTTCTTCTTATCGTGTCGACAACAAACCTACATAGTGTTAGCCCAAAACTCCGCTACAAAAGTGGAGTTGTCAACATGTAGGTATGTACTACCTATGTAAGTATTAAATTATCATGAAGCATTTTTCTGAAAAACGTGAAAACCCGCACTAATTTTATCAAGAGTGATAAGTTATTTAAAAGCATACACATTGATTTAAAGGAGAGGTAGGTAGTAATAGCATTTTATAAGTGGTCAGATAAACTGATTGACAAGGGGGAAATCCAAGTAAGTGGATAGGTACTACAAAATAACAAAAGTATAACATACCATTAAGGATAACGTAACCTGTTTGAAATGCGTTGTTTTAAACTTTTAATCATTGTTTTAGATTTTAGGATTACCTAACTAAAATTCTGGAATTTGGATTTGTCAAATTGTAAAATAACTGAAAATCATACATGTTCGTTAGTTCGTTTCAGCCAAATGACGTCCATTGCTGGACAAAGGCCTCTCCCAAGGATTTCCACCACGACCGGTCCTGTGCTGTCCGCATCCAGGTACTTCCCGCGACCTTTACCAGATCGTCGGTAGACCTACATACATGTAGCCTCATGTAATGGACCCATACCTAAATTAAAATCTGAAATTGTGAAAAATGTCACAGGAAACTTTACGCTTTTCACAGCTGCCACAGGTGCTAAAGAAGTAGGATATACGAGTATACTTTGTCGTACTTAATTAGTGTTTAGTCTAGTAATCTTTGCATAGAGAACTATGCAAAATAGTGAAAGTAGGTGCTCCGGTAGTAGCACGAAAGGCGCGAGTTGTGCAATGCATTTAGACCATGCTGCCTTAACTAAAAGTCTAGCGTAGGTGATGACTATGAATTACGAGTAATATGTATGACTATTTAAATAACTTAACGTCTGGCGTACCTACTTAGATAACATGATAAAATATATACTATACCTACCTATTTAAATTCAAATTCTTTATTAGTCTGTAGGCAGGTCCTTTTTAGAGCACACATTACGTGTCAAAATACATCTTTCTCTACCACCACTTTGACACAACGTTTGACTGGTGCTTACAAGAAGTGAACTACAGAAGATAGAATTTTCATAACGGGACTATTCCTACCTCTCGTTCCCACCGCTGCAACTCCTGTGTAGCCAGGATCTACAGCTTGACAGCCAATAAAAACCCAACCAGTGAAGATGAAGTTTTGTCCCGGAGGAAATTAAACTGTCATGGAACCGCGACAAAATTTTACTAAAAACTCTTGGGATTAAATTACAAACGGACTTTTCTTTATTTATCTGATATATAGGTACCTACTGCTAGTTATTAGGTAATCTATATTGCATGTGTGATCAATTCGAGGGTCGGAAGCTATCGCAATACCTAACCGCTTACTTAACTGATTGAACAAACCACGTCAGTTAAATTGCTTTGGGAATGTTATCAGTCTATGTAAGAAGGTTATTTTGGTAAATTGGGCCCAATTACTTAAAAGTAATTTGATTAGTTGACCCGTATTTTACTCTATATGTTTCAGCTGTTAGCAGATTATTTCATGAACCATAACAGATAGACAGTTGTCTTCTCTAATTTCTTATTCTACATTTGTAACTTTTATTTCTCTCTTTGTTTCTCACACTAAGTAAGTCACAACACTCGCACTTGGCATTTTTTATGGATATGTTCTGAATTGGCAGAGCAATAAAGATTTTCCTTATGGAGTCAATTGATTGTAATGTACGTAGGTACATACATACAGGCATAGTAAATTACCGTGTTGTTTCAATCAGACAATCAGAGGCATCTACTGCAATAAAAAGTTTATGGGTTCGTCCCATTGCATGTTAGATCAACTAATATAGAATGTGTTGGGTTTTTATACTTCCAGTTTATTAAGACATCTAATAACAATACTCACAAACACTAGGTACATAATCTCAACACTAGCCCATAGTATTGTCCCGGAGCAGTAGTTAGTATCTAATGTACCTACTATGTAGAGACGTGTAAAAGTGCTCTATAAAAGTCTACATATTATTTTTACGAATTTTCAATAATGTTTTATTCCATAGACGTAACTAAACCTACATTAGCTAAATTACATAGTATCAGTGACAGACCTGGCACAATTTACTATGTATTTACGCGCTTGCATCGTGTAATAATCGAATAATACTTAGTCGCTACAAATATCATATATCAGATTAAACTTAAATGTAACTAGATAGTTTCAATGTAGTCTAGAGTTATATCAGTTAGCAGCTGGACACACAGACTGACTGATTGCGAGTCTATTATCGGTCTCTACCGAAACTACAGCCGCGTCTCTACATCATACACTAATATTGTGCTAATAAAGTATAAACGCGAAAGTTTGGATGGATGTTTGTTTTTTCTTCCTTCATGTAAAAACTACTGAACGGATTTGGATGACAACTTACAATGTTATAGCTTATTACATCGGTATCGAACCAAACGATGTTTTAAACTGAAATCTACACGGTTAAAGCCGTGGACAGAAATTTATACACTCCAAGATTATCAGGGTACTGTTAATTTAACAATGTTTATTATCTCTGTCTCAGAAAGACCTTGGACATGTAACATAACCCACAAAGGTGACAATAGTCCAATGGTGCCAGTGTCGGACTACCGATTCAAGGGTCACCAGTTCAATACCCGTTCCGCTGGACTATTGAGATGAATCCACTCCTGTGTAACTCAAGTAACATATTTATTTTATTATTATTATTTAGCTTAGCTGGAAGTGGAATCCTAGTTATTTCTGCACTAAAAATTGATTCAAACCATCTGGATGCTGAGCTCATTTTTTTAACCAATCTGGAATTCGAACCCTGAGCCCAGTAGAGTAACTATACCATCCGATGATCCGAGGCCCGTGGCAAATTCTGTGCATGGGGCCCTTGGTTGTTTTTCAGGGGCAATTAATAGGGACTTAAGACGGGACCCCCTCCAGTACGGGGCCCGTGGCATTTTGCCACCCCTGGCCCTTCCATCCTATATTTACGCTACTTCCTGAACCTTTGAGCTCCAACAACTCGAGATTCCAACTGACTGACATTCGTGCCTTTTTCCCGTATTGCGGATTTCGTCACGCGTGCGGATCTGTTGCCCGCATTTCATTATTTCATACATGTTCCTATTACGCGGACCATCCGCACACGTGCCGAATTTTGCATCACAGGAAAAAGATTAGACGTGACGTGTGTAACATGTTCTGATTTCCATTATTTAGTATAAATAATATATCAACATAGTTGCGATGACGTAAGTTAAATTGTGCAAAGCGAATTCTTATCACTGTGCCATGTTACATTTGTATGTTTTGTAAATAAATTCGTGTATGGTCCAATACGTTGATAGGTTTAATACCTAAATCAGGTTTTTCCCTTCCCTACCTCGACACTCGATGCTCGGAAGACCCCGAATTTGAAAAGGTAGTTATGTATTTTTGTACTTTTTTCATTGCCATACTTTTTCACACTTTAATATTTTCAGAATTTCTGATGATGATTACTGGTTATTAAGCTATAATTTAATAAAGATGCTTTTTATATTAAACAAGAGTAGATAATCTTAGGAGTTTTGTTTTTGATAAAAAAATAGACGACACAAACACGTTCCACGTAGCCTAGATACGTGATTCTTAACGCAGTTGTTTACATTATTTTCACAGTTATTTTTAAAGTTGAAATTACTCGTAAACCATCTCCAACAAGAAATCATTTCATCACAGACAGTTGATTTGCTCGTCTTAAAATAATTACAGAAATAGAAACGAAGAAATAAATAACTTAACTAAAAAGATTTACAAAAGTAATCAAAATCCACACTCACCGCTTTCACGTGCAATAAATTGGCTCGGCGATATTTTTTACGGCGAATAAAAAACCAAACGCATTGTTCCTCCTTGATAACTTCAATCTCACACTCACTTGTTTTCTTTTAATTGTAATGAAAGCTTTTTAAAACTGCCAGAAATGCAGAAAAAAGTAAACTTTTTTATTTTTATTCATAAAACCACAGATAAAATTAAATTCCAATTCAAAAATTGAATTTTGAAATTCGAACGCGTTGTTTTTTTCCGCATGCGGCGTGCGAATCGACGCTCAGCTGAGGGCACACTGGGGTCGGCAACATGTGCTCATGTGGTCCAAGCAAGCATAACTAGGAAGTAGTGAGCACATAGTGAGTCAGTGTTGCTATGGTGTGTTCCGTACTTAATATTGTAGGCACGTGGTTGAAATTCAGATTGTGCCGGGAACCGTTAGAATTTCGTCTAGGATCTACCTACCTAGGTATGAAAAAAAAAGAGATTCGCTATCGTCTGATAATACAATCAATTTTTAATTTCAGAGAAAAGGCATCCCTGGTGTCGAAAAATTCGGGTCTGTTAGTGAAACATTAAAATCACAAAAAAAACTTTACCTATTGGATTAACCTTTACCAATATTCAAATTGAAATAAGTTGGTAGACTCTGAAATAAAGTAAACGAATCATTTAAGTTTTACAATAAAATTCTCCGACTGAATCCTAATTTCAGTGATGTAATTACAGCGTTATGTTGATTCTACCTCATTGTCTCATTTCAAATTGATCAAACATACCCAATATTATCTATTCTCGCTTATTAAATAATAATATCAATTGCATGCTTCAAGATCATGTTAACTTATGACTAGCTTTTTGCCGCGGCTGCGCTCGCGAATGTTTTAATTTCCGTAATACAGGGAGACGGGACATCGATACTTGAAACACATCCTGAAACTCTACAGCCTCTCCATCCAGACAAAGAATCAAATCTTGACAGTTTTTCTGTAATCGCTTCGGATTTTTATCATTGATAGCCCATACCTAGGTTCCCTACGAGTATTATTAATATTACATTTAATACCCGCTACAAATTAAACACAAAAAAATCATTTTCACATTGTTTATTTCATCCCACGTACAAAATATCAAGATCACATCGAATAAATAAGAGAACTATCCTTTCACTAAGTTTTTTAGGAAACATTTTCTTTAGTTTTTTATAATCAGTAGAAAACACAGATTTTATTAAATAATTCAATTAAAATTATTCCCTTTCATTCACCAAAAGCAATTTATAACTTTTAATGAACCTATCAGTTTATAAATGGCATTACCGTTAAACATGTATTTTTAATGTAAAATTAATATTCACTAAAATATTTATTTTTATGTTGTCTCTCTCAACTGGCTGTTTTTTTTCTCGTAGAGTTAGAATTTAATAAAAAAACTACGTCTTACGATAAGTTCTTATCAAAATTAAATACACATTTTTATTATTAAAGTTTTCCTATGGTAACTATTTGCAACAAAGTTATTCTACATTATTTTAAACGAAACAAAAACAATTATTAATTCAATTGATAAATAATTTAAATATTTCTTTAAATTAAACTAAAAATAAATATGACTAGTTTATACACTTCCAGTAAAGTATACAGCGTACCTTTTACTTAGCATATTTAATACAAATAAAGTATTTTTTAGTTCTTAGTTTTTTATAATTTTTATTAAGCTAGAAAGAGGTGGCGTCATATTTGGAAGGCCACACGGAGGTTGGTCAATAGATGGTTGGATGACCCGGTTTCTGTGCCCAGCAGTGGGACACCATAGGCCTTTAAAATCTATAGGAATAAAACATTAGATTGGACGTTGTCATCTATAACTCTCTACTGAAACGTTATAAAATATCTCCACCAAAAGATTAGAACAACTTTACCTACCGTATAAACTTTTTTTGTGCGTTTTAATTAATAATTTCAACAGATGATGTAATATTAATAATTCTTACTGACTAATATACTCCACATTATTAAGCTCTGTATAAAAACTTAATTAATTATCTTAATATTGACCTTAATGTGTAAAATAGTGCCCGGCTGTTTTGTCGACATTTTTAATAAGTGTTGTTCAGGCTCTATCATCATCATCATCTTTTCAGCTGTAACTGCTGAAGAGTCAAAACTTGACTCTTAGCTAAAAGTAAAAGGGCTCAGGCTTTCATTAAAATGGCTCCTGTATCATCATTCATCATCAATATTGGTGGTGGTTGTTACATTTATTAGACACGCTCTTAGCTCAATGGAGTTTGGTAGAGCCAATATCGAATTTCGTCAAAACTCTACATTACTACTTATATCTTCAACTTATGTCGTCCTCGTCATGCAAAAAGACGACATCCTACTTACCCTACACCTGAGATGTCAAGTGTGCCTCACGAGCTTATGCGCCCGGTGTAGACACACCCTAAAAAAGTTTTTCTTTTAGATTCTTTTTCTTACATGCCTGAAACCACCGAGCACCAACTAACTCTACCTAAAATAGTTTAATAATCTGTGTACGGGAGCGGCGAGTTGCCAACACCATCTAGTGTCACTGGTCTGTAGTACTCCTTCATTTCGCCCCAACCGCGCGGCGCTACGTTGAAATTGGGCCCACAGACAAGTGGTAGCCGGGGACTTTTTGGAGAAGCATAGACATCGTTGAGTTTTGTTGGAGCCATAGGCACGGGGATTTCGACGTTCTGTAGCGTTATGGTGGGGGGTGAAACCGGGAAGGGCTCCATTTTGGGGATGTAGGAGTGTTTTAGAGCCGATTTGGGGTAGGTCTTCTGGTTGCGTCCACTGGATGGCGGGCGGTAGGCTGTGTCGTGGTTGGCCACTGGCGTCGGCGTGGAGCAGGTGTTGGATGTGTTTCGACCTGGAATAGAAAAGATGGAATGTTATTTAGGATTTCATGATACATCTTAGTTTGACGGTACTGTCTCTACAAACGGGTTCATGAGTGACCTTTTGATTGATTCCGATTTGACCAAGACCATGATTTCCGAGATAAAACCAGGAACATAATATTGTATTTATTGCTACGGTGCTACGGCGAAGCGATTACGACATCAATCATAACTATTACTCCTTCCTACATTTTTCAAAGGCCATGTTTCTTCCTAAATCTAAACTGGTTCAACTAAAAAGTTTTAGAATAGAAGAATAGAATAGAAAGTATTTATTTGTCTCAAAACAGGTTTCATTTAGTTTTGGCACTCTTGCATCATACTCTATTCTACATATTATACTAATGTATTAATTTTACTATCCCATTATGATTTCGGGACGTGTTTTGATTTTTCCGAACTCTACGCGGAAAAAGCCGTGAGTGAAGTTATTAAGTTCGATATAATTATTAATGTAGGATGTAGGTATAAGTATACGTATAATTAATTGTACTTACTACATACAATGGTGTGTATGTAATTAATTGAGTATGTAGTTGATTAATGTGTCGCTTTTACAGACACAGTACGTTAAGAGTAAGGACGTTGCAAACAATCTCTCAATCATCTGAAGGAAATAGGAAGTAGGTACACAAGGATTTAATACAGCTTTAAAGCAGATACAAACCTTTAGAGATATATGATAGATCAGATCTAAGCCTAACTAGGACACAATCGTGGTCTTTGTAAGTGTAACAAATCACATAGGTCACTTAGGACTTCCTATAATACAATGTTGAATGGAATTTAATCGTTAGGTAGCAGGGAAGCGCTGGACGCAGGCCGCTACCAATCGATCAACAGGATTGGGAGGCCTATGTTCAGCAGTGGACGTCCTATGGCTGAAATGATGATGATGATGATGAATGGAATTTACTGTAGAAATGTACTAAAGGCTCTGGCACACACTCTGATCATTGAAAAGCGGCGTTTACTAAATCATGTGGGAGAGTCACATAGCAAAGTCAAAGTCATACTACTATTCTACATCATTAAATCCCCGCTGAATCAATCAAGTTCTGATAAAAACTCCTGACATTACCGGAACATTGTAATTTACTGACCTCTCCTATAGAATTTCTTTCTTGTTCCTGTGTTCGATTGTTTAGGCGTCGACTGTCCTTCCTTATGGTTTACGGAACTGATTTCTGATCCCAATTAATGTGACACTACACTGTTTTATCACAAGGGCATAGTAAGATGACGGAACTAATCTATGAACCTAAAGGCTGATTTATACGTAGTATTTAAATTTAACTTTTTAAATAATTACGGAATGGTACCCTAAAGAAATCAGAAGAAGTAGAGGAAGACAACCAAAGCGATGGGAAGACGATTTGAAGCAAGTAGCTGGGCCAGAATGGTTACGTACCTACAGCAAAGGACAGAAACAAATGGAAATTTTATCCTTAGAGGAGGCCTTTGTCGAAAGACAAGCTGTTATGAGGAGAGATAAGCCGAATGCCGAGAATACTATTTTAGTTTAAATGAATTTTTCTTACCTCTAGTAATCATTTTTAATATTATGTTTAGTCAAATTTTATTTTATTTAATTAAATTATAACTGAATTTTTTGGGTAAGTTGGTGGGCTTGTCACTAACTTGACACGTTTTGACTAGCAGTTTCATAATAAACAAGAGCTTGTTGACTACATAAATACGTTTTTACATACACTTAAAATTAAGTTAAAATTTAGTTACACGTGTAAATCAGCCTTTAGACATTGTCGTATTAAATTGGCTTGTATATTTTTTTCAGCGTGTTTATTAACAATTAATTAATTACTTACGTTGATTGTTAGTGATATTAGATAGAATAAACTGGTTTTAAGACTATGAAAGTAATCTACGAATTTCATCACTATTTTAACACGCATATTGAGAGTGCCAATTAGAAGTAAATTAATGTTTCTTTCTTCCTTATTAGTACTCTAGGTACGACAGATATTGTACTAATAAGTGATTATTTGGCAACAAAAATATATAAGTAGTAGGTACTTAGACCATCATAAAAGCATCACACTTGTTAGCAACGAAAGGATTAACGCTGATTTGGCTATCAAATTACACCTGAGGAACGCGGGGAGTCGTACGGGATAACAAAAAGATATTCCTTGTGGCATTCGAACGTGGGCCGCGAGCGAGTAAAGCCGAGAGCTTTCGAAAGTGTGTTGTGTACCTATGATTGATGGCTTGATTTAGCAAATTATGGTATTGGTGAATAAGTTGGTTTCAGACTATTTGTATTTAATATCCAATTTGTGAGTGAGTATGTGTACGAATCTAACATATCAGAAGTGAGTCCGACGCCCATTGGTATGTAAATTATTTTTATTATTATTGATGCAGTTGCATGAAACAACAAGTGAGTTTTCTGGAAGTGACCGCTCAATCAATAGTTGACTGGCAGAAAATAACATTGAGTCCTTAAAAAAAGTAACAAACAAAGATGTTTTAATAATTTAGTCTAAATATTTTACAAATAAGACATACGTGCATAAATACTTAAATAAGCTATATTTAAAGAAAACATATTATTTAATAACATTTAGTTACAACTTCAAATGTTTGTCACGAAAAACATTATTTAAATTAGCAATAAATCGTGTAGCAAATTAAATTATAATCAATTTGCAGTTTTGATTTTGTTTGTTTCTCTTGACGCCATGTCGACATGTGCGTTTCTTACGAATGCGAGGCAACACTGGCTGCACGAAGCTAGCGTGAGGTGCGGTACCAGGTGCGCAGGGTACAAGGTGCTTCGACCTGGTTTCGCATTGTGAAGACATTTTATTACTTCCGTGCGGTACCAGGTCTAAAAACCTGGTATTAAGGTAGGTACATCATTGGATTCTATTTTAAGAATACATCATAGATATATATTCATCACTTTCCTACACCGGACCCAATTGAAGTTATGCCTTTCGCACGACAAGGAAGACTATAATTTTCTTAGCCGCACGGTAAGCGAGACGTACACAAGGTCTATAGACCTGGTTTCGCACTCAACGTGTTAAACTCATCATTATTATTTCAGCTAATGGCAGTCCATTTCTGGACAAAAGCCGCCATAGACAAGAAGATTAATATTTGATAGAAGAAGAATATGCTCTTCACCAAAATTCATCAAAATTAATTTTAAAATTATTTTAATAGCCTAAAACTGCACTTAGACTCAGGCATGCAATATCTACAGACAGACTAAAAAATTGTTGCAAAAGATTTTCGTATATATGAACTTTAACAATGGCAAAGTTTAAAATAACCACTTCGTTTAAAATAACTCGAGTTTCTAACCACAGTCTAAACCAACAATCAAAGTAATTCAGGTCATTATGTTTGTAGCGTTTTGATTCAGACATGTGTAATAAATAGATCTAACGCATAAGCGTCAGTCAATGTCTGAGGTATGGGAGGGGCACGGGACGTCAAATCAAAACGTCATCATCATCATCATCTCAGCCATAGGACGTCCACTGCTGAACATAGGCCTCCCCAATGCTTTCCATGTTGCGCGGTTGGTCCTTCGTCCAGCGCCTTCCTGTCACGTCATAACCTGTCAAAATCTCCCCTCCCGTGCCGCTCCCACACCTCTGGCACTTCATGACTATTCCCACCTCTCGTTCCCACCACTGCAACTCCTGTGCAGCCCGGATCTACAGCTTGACCGCCACAAAAACCCAACCAATGAAGATCAAGTTTGTCCCGGGGGAAAGTTAAACTGTCATTGGACCCGCAACGAAATTAATCAGAAGAACATAGGAGGAGTTCGAAATTACAATAGTGACTGAATTTCTTGCGCTGCTTCTTCTCAGCACTGGCCCATTTATTGTCCCGAAGCAGTGGCAGGGTTAATATTGGGACGTGTAAAAGCGCTTTTTAAAAGCCTATTTGCAAAAATAAATGAATTTTATGAATTTTACCAACACCTCAGGCACTGGCTGAATTAAGCGGTAGACCTGTAATAGGTTGTAATTCTGGCGATGACATGTTCAGATGAATAGGCAAAAAATGAGGCAAACGACGCCATACCTGTTTCCTGTTTCCTTGTAAGACATTTTTTGCTGATTCAAAAGATGCTGGTGTATGTCTTTAACGATGTCATTGAGCAAAAAACTAGGGCTGGGTAGCACCAAATTACTTTAACTTTGACAAACTCCTAATTTTGACCGTACCTTTAACGATAACCGGTGTTTTTGTATGTTGTTTGAAAATTAAGCTGGTGCAACCGAGCCATACTTAATCTTCAGCTGATTTTAAAGTGCGAACGAGAAATTGTGCTCTAGGTAGACCTTAAAATGATTGACAATATTATTTTATGTTGCAAGAACGTTCTGTAATCACAAACGCAATTATTTTTGAGTTTGATTAACAGGAACCTTTCTCTCCACACCATTGCAAAATTAATTAGGACAGTATTTGTTAGCCAACAGTTTTATTGTATTGGCGAAACCGAAATTGGAGTTATAACAATGGTTAACTGGTAGAGAGTGCCATAAATACGGCATTAAGTTCGCCTTTTGTACTGTAATTTTCTTGTGTGCAATAAAGCTATAAACAAAATTAATTAATGCTACTGACAACGCCACTCTTGTAGCGGAGCTTTGGGCTGACACTACAAGAAGAAAATAAGTATCTATAATATGTATAAAATACTATAATTTGCTCGTAGTATGTATGTACATATTTAAAAGTAAGTACGGGTCTTCTTCTTCTTCTTATCGTGTCGACAACAAACCTACATAGTGTCAGCCCAAAACTCTGCTACAAGAGTGGCGTTGTCAGCATGTAATGTACCTATGTAAGTATTAAATTATCATAAAGCATTTTTCTGAAAAACGTGAAAACCCAAACTAATTTTATCAAGAGTGATAAGTTATTGAAAAGCGTAAACATTGATTTAAAGGAGAGGTAGGTAGTACCTAATGGCTTTTTACAAATGGCCAGATAAACTCACTGACAAGGGGGAAAACCAAGCAAGTGGATAGGTACTACAAAATAACAAAAGTATAACATACCATAAGGATAACGTAACCTGTTTGAAATGCGTTGTTGTAATTCAACTTTTCATCATTGTTTTAGATTTTAGGATTAACTTAATATGTGGAATTTGTATTTGGCAAATTGTAAAATAACAGAAAGAGCGCTGAATTATACATTTTCGTTCGTTCGTTTCAGCCAAATGACGTCCATTGCTGGACAAAGGCCTCTCCCAAGGGTTTCCACCACGACACTGTGTGTAGTGTTAGGTTTAGGGTGTTGAAGACGGCATTAGAAATTAAGTGAAGTGGTGCTAGGCGCATCCAAGTACCTACTTCCGCGACCTATACCAGATCTTTGGTACACCTACCTACATGTATGTAGCCTCATGTAATGGACCCATACCTAAATTAAAATCTGAAATTGTGAAAAATGTCACAGGAAACTTTACGCTTTTCACAGCTGCCACAGGTGCTTTTAAGAAGTAGGATATACGAGTATACTTTGTCGTACTTAATTGGTGTTTAGTCCAGTAATCTCTACATAGAGAACTATGCAAAATAGTGAAAGTAGGTGCTCCGGTACTAGCTCGAAAGGCGCGACTTGTGCAATGCATTTAGAATTTAGACCATGCTGCCTTAACTAAAAGTCTAGCGTAGGTGATGACTATGACTTACGATACTAGTATGATTATACTCGTAACTTATGGGCCATTCTTATTCTTACGCATTTTTGTGTGAGATGTAAGAATAGCATATGTTTTTAAAAAAAATCAGTGCACTGTATATTAATTTACTTAGTAAAATACCTCTATTAACTAGGCCCAATATCATTTTTATCATAAAACTATTAGAAGAATATTTAAAAAAAGTTACAAGTCCAAAATGTCACGGACCGTGTAGTGTGAGATTCCCGGATTTGGACATACAATATTTTTTTCTGAAGAGATATTATGTTATTTTGATAAATATTACAGTAATTAAATGCAAGATTAATACATGTTATGTCAGACTGTTAAAAATTAATATCAATAATAATTACCATTTTTGATTTTGAACACCAAACATTGTGTGAGCAGTTTTTGTGTCACAACCACGTGCGCCACTTTAAATATGCGTAAGTAACTCGGTAAAAAACTATCTTTGATATTGACATCCCTTGCTAAGTTTTTTTAGAACAGTAACATTGTCATCTTATTAGATTTGCAAATGGCTGAACGTAGTGAGTGAGCCGCAAAAAAGAATTACAGACCCATCTGGGTTCTGACTCTGAGTCATGTCTACAAGCTGTTTTTGAGAGCCATCACGAATAGTCTCGCGCGTAGGTTCGATGACTTATAGTCTCTCGAGGAAGCCAGTTATCGAAACGTTTACACTACCATATACCGCATCTATACGCTACGGCAGGTTATACAGAAGACCGAAGAGTCTAACTTGCCTATATGCTTGGCGTTCTTAGACTATGAGAAGGTCTTTGAGCCTGGCTGAACACGAGGGCGATTCCTCTGCGATTCCTCTGCATGGGCAGCGTTCGGGAAACTACATAACATATTTTCGACCAAAACATTTCAGTGCCTAAAGACGAAAGTCTACAATCAGTGTGTGTTACCAGTAGTGATGACACACGGTTCGGAAACGTGGCCTCTTACTATAAAGCCTTATAATAAGCTCAAAGTTGCACACCATGGTATGGAGAGTGCTATGCTCGGTGTTTCTTTTCGAGATCGAACCAGAAATGAGGAGATTCATAAACGAACTAAAGTTGCCTGACATTTAGTGATCGTCGGATTACCAAGCTAAAGTGGCGATGGGCAGGGCACATAGTACCTACGTAGAACTGACGGCCGATGGGGCAAGGTTCTAAAGTGGAGGCCACATACGTGTACGTGTTTGTCGGGAGGCGCTTTCATTTTTTAACCAACTCCGGAACTAGAACCGGAATTCCGGAGTTGAGTGCCCAATATCGGAAATCAGTTCCGGAGTTGAAAACTATCCGATATTGCAAGCCCTAGTAGGTACATCTTGTTCTACCACCACTTTGACACAACGTTTGACTGGTGCTTACAAGAAGTGAAAGACAGAAGATAATATCAAAATGAAAATCAAAAATATTTATTCAGTTTAGACCACAAGTGGCACTTATGAACGTCAAAATATAGTGAACAATAAAAAAAGAAAAGGTAGCCCTTATGGGGCACTTTACATGTCTCCTTATCTTTTGGGCCCTACTTACCAAAGAATTTTCATAACGGGACTATTCCCTGAGTCCAGCGCTTTCCTGCTACCTTTATGATGTCGTCGCTACCAACCGGGTAACATGGAAAGCATTGGGGGAGGCCTATGTTCAGCAGTGGACGTTCTATGGCTGAGATGATGATGATGATGATGATTATTCCCACCTCTCGATCCCACCGCTGCAACTTCTGTGTAGCCAGGATCTAAAGCTTGACCGCCAATCAAAATCCAATCATAGAAGGTCAAGTTTTGTCCGGGAGGAAAGTTTAAACTGTCATTGGACACTCGACAAAATTTGATTAAAAACTCTTGGGATTACATTACAAACGGACTTTTCTTTATTTATCTGATAGATAGGTAGGTACCTACTGCTAGTGATTAAGTAAACCATAAATTGCATGTGTGATCAATTCGAGGGTCGGAAGCTATCGCAATACCTGACCGCTTACTTAACTGATTGAACAAACCACGTCAGTTAAATTGCTTTGGGAATGTTATCAGTCTATGTAAGAAGGTTATTTTGATAAACTGGGCCCAATTACTTAAAAGTAATTTGATTAGTTGACCCATATTTTACTCTATAATGTTTCAGCTGTTAGCAGACTATTTCATGAACCATAACAGATAGACAGGTGTATTTTTTTTTTCAAATTTCTTATTCTACATTTGTATCTTTTATTTTTCCTTCTTTGTTTCTCACTCAAGTCAAAAGATTCGCACTTGGCATTTTTATGGATACGTTCTGAATTGGCAGAGCAATAAAGATTTTCCTTATGGAGTCAAATTGATTGTAATGTGTACATCCATAGGTACATACGAGTAACATTGTACCTAAATTACCGTATTGTTTCAATCTTAACCATACAATAAAAAGTTTATGGGTTCGTCCCATTGCATGTTGCACCAAATGCAGCTTACATTATTTAATTTTTGTTTGTTTGCTTGAACGCGCTATTAATCTAAATATATCACCTTACAGCCAAAAATATTGTAAAAACGGGAAATATTTATTCAAACTAATTTTCACGCGTACGAAGTCGCAGGCACAGCTAGTTATCGAATAAAGTGGCTGCAAATATCATATATCAGCTTTAAGTTAAATGTAACTAGATAGTTTCAATGTAGTCTAGTGTTATCTCAGTTAGCAGCTGGACGCACAGACAGACTGATTGCGAGTGTGTTATCGGTCTCTACCGAAACTACAGCCGCGTCTCTACATCATACACTAATATTGTGCTAATAAAGTATAAACGCGAAAGTTTGGATGGATGTTTGTTTTTTCTTCCTTCATGTAAAAGCTACTGGATGGATTTTGATGAGACCTTGCATTGTTATAGTAGCTTATTACACGGTATATTACAGGCTGCTTTTTACTGAAATAAGGGATTACTTTAGAATTGACTTTGTCGAAAACCAAGCGGTTGAAGTCGTGGACAGAAACTAATATACTCCAAGATTATCAGGGTACTGTTAATTTAACAATATTTATTATCTCTGTCTCGGAAAGACCTTGGACATGTAACATAACCCACAAAGGTGACAACAGCCCAGTGGTGCCAGTGTCGGACTGCCGATTCAAGGGTCACCAGTTCAATACCCGTTCCGCTGGATTATTGTGATGAATCCACTCCTAACTCAAGTAACTTTATATTTAGCTTAGTTGGAAGTGGAATACTACTTATTTCTGCACTACAAATTGATTCAAACCATCTGGATGCGAAGCTCATTTTTGACCCTGAACCCAGTGGCGTAACTATACCATCCGAGGCCCGTGGCCAATTCTGTGCATGGGGCCCTTGGCGTATCTAGGGTTGTTTTTCAGGGGCAATTAGTAGGGTCAAGCCGGGGCCCCCTATAGTAGGGGGTCCATGGCATTTTGCCACCCCTGGCCCTTCCATCCTATAGTTACGCCACTCCCTGAATCTTTGAGCTCTAACAACTCGAGATTCCAACTGACTGACCATTTGTGCCTTTTTGTAATGCGGATTTCGTCACGCGTGCGGATCTGCTGCCCGCATTTCATTATTTCATACATGTTCCTATTACGCGGACCATCCGCACACGTGCCGAATTTTGCATCACAGGAAAAAGATTAGACGTGACGTGTGTAACATGTTCTGATTTCCATTATTTATTATGTATAAATAATATATCAACATAGTTGCGATGACGTAAGTTAAATTGTGTAAAGCGAATTCTTATCACTGTGCCATGTTACATTTTGTATGTTTTGTAAATAAATTCGTTTTATGGTCCAATACGTTGGTAGGTTTAATAATACCTAAATCAGGTTTTTCCCTGAGTACCTTGACCCTCGATGCTCGGAGGACCCCGAATTTGAAAAACTTATATTTTTGTAATTTTTTTCATTGCTATAAGTTTTCAAACTTTAATATTTTCAGAATTTCTGATGATGATTTTTGGTTAATAATATGCTAGATTATCTATTGTGTCTAGATTCGCGGAGCTTGAAGGATTAAACAAGAGCAGAAGAATAATCTTTTGAGTTTTGTTTTTGATTAAAAATATACGACACAAACACGTTCCACGTAGTCTAGTAGATACCTACGTGATTCTTAACGCAGTTGTTTAGGTACATTATTTTCACATTTATTTACAAGAAAACATTTCATCGCAGACAGTTAATTTGCTCGTCTTAAAATGTATTACATAAATAGAAAGGAAGAAATAAATAACTTAATTAAAAAGATTTACAAAAGTAATCAAAATCCACATCACTCACCGCTTTCACGTGCAATAAATTGACTCGGCGATATTTTTTACGGCGAATAAAAAACCAAACGCATTGTTCCTCCTTGATAACTTCAATCTCACACTCACTTGTTTTCTTGTAAATTGTAATGAAACCTTTTTAAAACTGCCCGAAATGCAGAAAAAAGTAAACTTTTTTTATTTTTATTCATAAAACCACAGACAAAATTAAAATACAATTCAAAAATTGAATTTTGAAATTCGAACGCGTTGTTTTTTTCCGCATGCGGCGTGCGAATCGACGCTCAGCTGAGGGCACACTGGGGTCGGCGGCAACATGTGCTCATGTGGTCCAAGCAAGCACTAGGAAGGAAGTGTGAGTCAGTGTTGCTATGGTGTGTTCCGTACTTAATATTGTAGGCAGGTGGTTGAAATTCAGATTTTGCCGGGAACCGTTAGAATTTCGTCTAGGATCTACCTACCTAGGTATGAAAAAAAAAAGAGATTCGCTATCGTCTGAGAATATATTCAATTTTTAATTTCAGAGAAAAGGCATCGCTGTTAGTGAAACATTAAAATCACAAAAACAAACTTTACCTGTTGGATTAACCTTTACCAATATTCAAATTGAAATAAGTAGGTAGACTCTGAAATAAAGTAAACAAATCATTTAAGTTTTACAATAAAATTCTCCGACTGAATCCTAATTTCAGTGATGTAATTACAGCGTTATGTTGATTCTACCTCATTGTCTCATTTCAAATTGATCAAACATTCCCAATATTATCTATTCTCGCTTATTAAATAATAATATCAATTGCATGCTTCAAGATCATGTTAACTTGTATATATGACTAGCTCTTTGCCGCGGCTGCGCTCGCGCATGTTTTAATTTCCGTAATACAGGGAGACGGGACATCGATACAAACTGAAACACATCCTGAAACTCTACAGCCCCTCCACCCAGACAAAGAATCAAATCTTGACAGTTTTTCTGTAATCACTTCGGATTTTATCATTGATAGCCTATACCTAGGTTCCCTACGAGTATTATTAATATTACATTTAATACCCGCTACAAATTAAACACAAAAAAATCATTTTCACTTTGTTTATTTCATCGCACGTACAAAATATCAAGATCACATCGAATAAATAAGAGAACTATCCTTTCACTAAGTTTTTTAGGAAACATTTTCTTTAGTTTTTTATAATCAGTAGAAAACACAGATTTTATTAAATAATTCAGTTAAAATTATTCCCTTTCATTCACCAAAAGCAATTTATAACTTTTAATGAACCTATCAGTTTATAAATGGTTAAACATGTATTTTTAATGTAAAATTAATATTCACTAAAATATTTATTTCTGTGTCGTCTCTCTCAACTGGCTGTTTTTTTTTGTAGAGTTAGAATTTAATAAAAAACTACGTCTTACGATAAGTTCTTATATAATTAAATACACATTTTTATTAAAGTTTTCCTATGGTAACTATTTGCAACAAAGTTTGTTATACTAAATTATTTTAAACGAAACAAAAACAAGTATTAATTCAATTGATAAAATAATTTAATAATATTTCTTTAAATTAAACTAAAAATAAATATGACTAGTTTATACACTTCCAGTAAAGTATACAGCGTACCTTTTACTTAGCATATTTAATACAAATAATATATTTTTTAGTTCTTAGTTTTTTATAATTTTTATTAAGCTAGAAAGAGGTGGCGTCGTATTTGGAAGGCCACATTGATTGGTCTTCTAAATACATAGATATTATTTGGATTGACCTGGTTCCTGTGCCCAGCAGTGAGACATCATGGGCCTTTAAAATCTGTAGAAATAATATATAGATTGGACGTTGTCCCCTATAACCCTCTACAAACATAGTTTACTAAAACGTTATAAAATATCCCCACCAAAAGATTAATAACTTAAATTAAAACAACGTTACCTTATAGACTTTTTTGTGCGTTTTATTTAATAACTTCTACAGATGATGTAATATTAATAATTCTTACTGACTAATATAGTTACTCCACATTATTAAGCTCTGTATAAAAACTTAATTAATTATCTTAATATTGACCTTAATGTGTAAAATAGTGCCCGGCTGTTTTGTCGACATTTTGAATAAGTGTTCAGGCTCTATTATCATCATCATATTCATCATCATCTTTTCAGCTGTAACTGCTGAAGAGCCGAAACATGATTCTTAGTTAAAAGTAAAAGGGCTCAGGTCTTCATTAAAATGGCTCTTGTATCATCATTCATCATCAATATGGGCGATGGTTGTTACATTTATTAGACACGCTCTTTGCTCAATGGAGTTTGGTAGAGCCAATATCGAATTTCGTCAAAACTCTACATTACTACTTATATCTTCAACTTATGTCGTCCTCGTCATGCAAAAAGACGACATCCTACTTACCCTACACCTGAGATGTCAAGTGTGCCTCACGAGCTTATGCGCCCGGTGTAGACACACCCTAAAAAAGTTTTTCTTTTAGATTCTTTTTCTTACATGCCTGAAACCACCGAGCACCAACTCTACCTAAAATAGTTTAATAATCTGTGTACGGGAGCGGCGAGTTGCCAACACCATCTAGTGTCACTGGTCTGTAGTACTCCTTCATTTCGCCCCAACCGCGCGGCGCTACGTTGAAGTTCGGCCCACAGACAAGGGGTAGCCGGGGACTTTTTGGAGAAGCATAGACATCGTTGAGTTTTGTTGGGGCCATAGGCACGGGGATTTCGACGTTTTGTAGCGTTATGGTGGGGGGTGATACCGGGAAGGGCTCCATTTTGGGGATATAGGAGTGTTTTAGAGCCGATTTCGGGTAGGTCTTCTGGTTGCGTCCACTGGATGGCGGGCGGTAGGCTGTGTCGTGGTTGGCCACTGGCGTCGGCGTGGAGCAGGTGTTGGATGTGTTTCGACCTGGAATAGAAAACATGGAATGTTATTTAGAATTCCAAGATACATCTTAGTTTGACGGTACTGTCTCTACAAATGGGTTCATGAGTGACCTTTTCAACAACATAATATTGTATTTATTGCTACGGTGCTACGGCGAAGCGATTACGACATCTGTCATAACTGTTACTCGTTCCTACATTTTTCAAAGGCCATGTTTCTTCCTAAATCTAAACAGGTTCAACTGAAAAGTTTTGGCACTCTTGCATCATACTCTATTCTACATATTATACTAATCCATTATGATTTCGGGACGTATTTTGATTTTTCCGAACTCTACGCGGAAAAAGCCGTGAGTGAAGTCATTAAGTTCGATATAATTATTAATGTAGGATGTAGTTCTTTATAAGTATACGTATATTAATTGTACTTACTACATACAATGGTATGTATGTAATTAATTGAGTATGTAGTTGATTAATGTGTCACTTTTACAGACACCGTACGTTAAGAGTAAGGACGTTGCAAACAATCTCTCAATCATCTGAAGGAAATAGGAAATACACGGCGTGAATGAAGGATTTAATACAGCTTTAAAGCAGATACAAACCTTTAGAGATATATGATAGATCAGATCTAAGCCTAACTAGGACACAATCGTGGTCTTTGTAAGTGTAACAAATCACATAGGTCACTTAGGTCTTCCTATAATACAATGTTGAATGGAATTTAATCGTTAGGTAGCAGGGAAGCGCTGGACGCAGGCCGCTACCAATCGATCAACATGGAAAGCATTGGGGGAGGCCTATGTTCAGCAGTGGACGTCCTATGGCTGAGATGATGATGATGATGAATGGAATTTACTGTAGAAAAGTACTAAAGGCTCTGGTGGATCATTGAAAAGCGGCGTTTACTAAATCATGTGGGAGAGTCACATAGCAAAGTCAAAGTCATACTACTATTCTATCACGTTTACCTCGCGTTACAGTTACGCCGTACTTACCTATAAATCGTCGTCATGAATCCATAACAAAGATGGTATTTTTGCAAAGGAGGGTTATAGTATCAAGTAAGAGTTTAAAGTGCAAACTTCTATAAGGTAAAGGTCTCCAAAACTTCCCCACGTGAGCCAAAGCCCACAAAGCATGTTTTTCAGTCAAGATAGGTTTTTTGTACGCTTCTATTAAATGTCTCCAGAATTACCTACCTCCCGTAGGTCACAGCATGCTATGTGATGTTAATTCATAGGTTTTAATTTCCGCTGAATTAATCAAGCTTAGAAAAACTCCTGACAGTACCGGAACAATGTAATTACTGACCTCTCCTATAGAATTTCTTTCTTGTTCCTGTGTTCGATTGTTTAGGCGTCGACTGTCCTTCCTTATGGCGCACGGAACTGATTTCTGATCCCAATTAATGTGATACTACACTGTTTTATGACAAGGGCATAGTAAGATGACGGAACTAATCTATGAACCTAAAGGCTGATTTACACGTATTAATAGTTAAGTATTTAACTGCGCGCCTTTTTGCCAGGAAGTGTTACGAACCGACACGAATTATTATAACGATAAACTGTCGTCACTGTCAAAAGGGCGCCCCACTGTCAAAATTAACCCCCGTCGTGGGTTGGTACCTACCCGCTGAAAACCAGCTTCGTAACTTGACGACTTGTGTCATGGGCGCCTTTTCAGCATGGCTCAGTAATGTTAACCTCTGTTACATGTATGCACCTAAATGTTAATGCTGAATAAAGGTATTCTATTCTATTCTATAAATTTTAACTGAATTTTTCGGATTATCACTTGACACGTTTTGAAAAGCAGTTTCATAGTAAACAAGAGCTTGACTACTTACTTATATACGTTTTTACATAGACTTAAAATTAAGTTAAAAAGTTACCTACTTAACACGTGTAAATCAGCCTTTATACATTGTCGTTTTAAATTGGCTTGTATAGTTTTTTCAGCGTGTTTATTAACAATTAATTAATTACTTACGTTGATTGTTGGTGTTATTAGTTTAAACCGCTTTGAATAAGACTATGAAAGTAATCTACGAATTTCATCACTAACACGCATGTTGAGAGTGCCAATTATAATAAATTAATGTTTCTTTCTTCCTTATTACCTAGTTCTCTAGGTACGACGATAAATAATTGTTACTAATAAGTGCTCAGTATTTGGCAACAAAAATATATAAGTAGGTATTTAGACTACAATCTACAATTAAAGCATCACTGCTTGCTTATGCACGTAAGCTTACTGCCTCCTAGGCTTTTTCCAAAGTAAAGCATACTGCATATTATAACAGAAACGCAACGCTAATAACAAAATAGTTTATTGCTAAAATCTTATAGTTACATTTAAAGACTGAAAACACAAAACGTGACATATAAGAGTACCTACTTAGCTACTCACGACACAGCTTGACTCATTGATCTTTTCAGTTTTTTTTTATCCACAACGAGGAAGCTCTTGGCCTGTATCTCACCTGATGGTAAGTGATGATCAGGCCGAAGGTAGAAGCGAGCTTCACCCGGAATCCTCAACCACTTTTTATGTCACTTTAGATGTAGTACTATAGCTTAATAAACTCTACACGTGTTCGGGACAAACACTTCAGAAACATTATTGCCTTAGTAGGTATTCTCTACCATGAAAATAAATGTAAATGGAAATAGGTAAACGACCTATCGATTTGAATCTCTCTTCTAAATACATGAACCATATTTTATTTCAGCAACTCAGTACACACTAATCACAATCTTCCCTAAGGTCAAAAGAAACCTGTGGCCAATACATCTTGTGCATTAATATCTTTCCTGGCGCTTCCCCAAGCTGTCAGTTGGGCTGTCCTTATTAATTGTCCCGTCAGTGCTGCTAAATATAAAGTTTGGAAGCTATGGATCAAGTGTCTGATGGAAGATGACAGCTTGGCAGCTGTGTGATGATGTCGATGGAATCATCGCATGACGATTAATCGCAAAATACCTACTTCATTACATGTTAACCACAGAGTTGAAACCATGGACTGGTGCTGGTTTGTTGCAATTTGGATGCCTTTGGAAGGAGTTCGGGCGTGTTCTGTAGCAGTATTTTCTTGGTTTGGAGGTCTTTTAAATAAACCTTTGTTCTTCTTCAGTCGAAAGGTCGTCAGTCGCAAACGCACGACTGACGCCTTCTCAAAACGTTTAATTTTAAGGAGTCGAAATAAATAATAAATAAATAAATCTTTGGAAAATTACACACAGCGCCAGCTAGCCCCAAAGCCAAAGTAAGCAACTTAATGCTTGTGTTATGGATGCTAGCTTAACGGATATACTACTTACATACTTTTTTTTAAATACATACATACATATTATATAGTAACACCCAGACCCGTCACAGAAATTAAAATTCATCATTTCAATTTCTGCCCGGCCGGAAATCGAACCCGGGACCTCTCGGCATAGTAGTCCGATCTGAACCACTACACCAAACGGCCGACAAAAACCCAAAGGGTCTAAACTCTAATTACCCTTCTCACTTCTGCACCCACTTGCTATAATCTCCTGTTTTGGTAAACTCTTTGGAAGGAGTCCTAGCGTGTACCGTAGCAGTTCCAGACAAACGGTGGCATCAGGCTAAATTGTGGCATGGAGCATTAGTACTGGGCCATCTTACCTCGTCCCTCGTGCACCCATTTGACCCCCGGCTCATATGGTTGCTGGATTCACTGAGGGATTTGGAGATCTCTAATCTGGGTGCTCCGATGCCAGGCTATAATTGCCTGTTTTGAGAAAGCCTTTGGAAAGAGCTCTAGCATGTAACGTCCTTATACATCATGTAGCATCTAAAGGCAGTTGTTGTAATAGTATAGGAGTGATTCTTACCTCGTCCCTCGTGCACCCACTTGACGGAGCGCTTCTTCCTGTTGACATACATGCTCTGCACCCGGCTCATGTGGTTGCTGGAGTCACAGACTTGGAGATGTGGAACGGTCCGATGCCAAGTTACTATCGCCTTTTGTAGTGCCCTGAGTGCCCAAGCAATTGCACTCAGGAGGATTTGATGAGTGCTGCTGACAACGCCACTCTTGTGGCAGGNTCTCGAGACTGTTGTGCTGTGTTGACAAGTATGTCTTCCTCTGACAAACGATTCGGCTAGGTAGATTAAATTTCGAGAAAAAGGTAAATCGTCGAATCCAACTCGGCTGGGCAGCGTTCGGGAAACTATACAACATCTTTTCGTCCAAATACCTCAGTGCCTAAAGACGAAATTCTTCAATCAGTGTGTTACCAGTGATGGCACACGGCTCGGAAACGTGGCCTCTTACAATAGGCTTTATAAAAAAGCTCAAAATTGCACAGCGTGCTATGGGGAGGGCTATGCTCAGTGTTTCTTTACGAGATTGAATCAGAAATGAGGAGATCCGTAAACGAACTAAAGTCGCTGACATAGCCCGACGGATTAGCAAGCTGAAGTGGCAATAGGCAGATCACATAGTACGCTGAAATGATGGCCAATGGGGCAGCAAGGTTCTGAAGTGGAGGCCACGTACCAAAAAGCGCAGCGTGAGACGTCCACCCACAAAGGTGGACCGAAGACCTCATATAGGTAGCGGGAAGGCGCTGGATACAGGCCGCTGCCAACCAGTCATTATGGAAGTCATTGGGAGAGGCCTATGTTCAGCAGTGGACTTCCTATGGCTGAAATGATGATGATGATGAGAATTTTATAACTGTTTTAAAAACTATATTGTTAAATAGTTAAAACATAGTTCCTAAAGCAATAAAACCAGCAATAAAACATTGATAATTTAAGTACTTTTTATTTTTTTTGAAAGTATTCGAATAATATTCGAATATCACTGAAAAAATATTCGAATATTCGAAATAGAAAACTATCGAATATTTGCAATCTCTAGTTATGAGCGATTTTGTTTTATCTTACCTCGTCCCTCGTGCACCCACTTGATGGAGCGCTTCTTTCTGTTGACGTACATGCTCTGCCCCCGGCTCATGTGGTTGCTGGAGTCACTTAAAGACTTGGAGATGTGAAACGGTCCGATGCCAAGTTACTATCGCCTTTTGTAGTGGCCTGAGTGCCCAAGCAATTGCACTCAGGAGGATTTGATGAGTGCTGCTGACATCGGCACTCTTGTGGCGGAGTTTTGGGCTCAAACTGTGTAGGTTTGTTGTCGACACGAAAAGAAGATCGCCTTTTTTGGGNTGGACTAAGTTCAATTTAACAGTTAACTAAACGCCTGTGTACTACCCACATGCAAACAAAACAAAAGAGACAATATGGCGGCAGTTGACACATCTACCAACGCGGGCCAGTGCTGTTTTAAATTAAATAAACAACAAAAAACACCAAAATTTCTATAAAACACAGTCCGTAAATTATCACTAATAAATGCACTAAATAATTAACCGTAATCGTTAAAAATTAAGACCGAAATTAGAGTGCGGGGTGCTAAGACGTGCGTTCGGCGCGAGAAGTTTTCGAACTAACTAAAATAAGTTTTGAACATTGCATAATACGCAGAAAAGCTCCGTTTGGTGTAGGATGACGACGGCTTTGGGGATTTTCCTGGACAGCGTGGACGTCATAACGATCTTACACTCACAAACATTATAAAATGTCTACCTACCTTACTAATAAATGGGAGGATGTTCTATTCCTTCACGCAAAAAAATCTGAGCGAATTTTCATAAGATTTTAGAATGCTATAATAATAAGTTTAACGAAATTCACGCGGGCGAAGAAGGGAGAAGAAAAAAAAGAAATTAATTTATTGATCCTCCTTAGTAGGTATAACATCTAATCAAATCTTATTTAAATTTTAACTACTCGTATGAGTGAATCGCACTAACATTGCAGCGTTTATTCGTGATTTTCTGATACCGTCGTGGCCGTGGTTTTCTGACAATTCCCGTCTGTCCGTCAAGTCCCAAACCCATGGCGGCCGCAGCCGGCCCGTACTCTGCCAAAGCTAATTTGGTCGCGGTCTGCGTTTCGCCACCGCACCATGTCGGCTGTACAATCCAATGCTTTCCTAACCATACCCTGGACTTTGGAGTCTACGTCTTATGGGAATAATTAATTGAAGGGAAACTACGCCTAAATTAGTAAGTTTCCCTAAATTAGTAAGTTTCCAGCGGTCTCCTCGCCCGCATGGACGTGCGCTTTTGGAGAGAGAAATAAAGAAAATAGCTCTAACTAAGCAGAGATTTTACATGGGGAATACCTACTAGGCGTTAACTAGGTACCTGATCTATCAGATAAGCGTGTAATACACGTTATTACTTTTTGGAGTAGGTACTCAAAGTGGGCCTAAACTGTATCTTGCACAAACGTTTCTCGTCCCGTGCATGATATGCAAGCGAATAAATAGATCCGTTGGATAAATTGAGAATAGCTGATGAGAAGGCACTCCTCAACTTCCGTCTGGTCAGCATGGGGACGGGGAGTGGTAGGCCAAATCCTTTAGGCCTCAGCCTCGAACTTAACGGGCAGCGGGGCGGGAGCGGCGGCGGCGCTGGAGCGGGGCGGGCAACGCAGACCCGTTCTCGAAACAAGCGGGCAGCTCGCGCGGCGCTTTAGCGGCGAAGTGTTGTGTTCGGGGTTGTGTTGTCGAGATATTTGTTTTTATTCGCAAACGAAATGTCTGAACAACGGCGACAATTTTATTTCGATTCAAATTTATTCCTAACGCTCGATTTATTGTGGGCAAAAGAAGGAGTGCGCTGCCCGCTCCCTCGCCGCTGCCCGCTCGTTGCCCGCTCCGGCGCCGCTGCCGCGCCGCTGTTTTCGAGAACCGGTCTATTTGATTTTACGCATAAGATCCTGCCGCTCCCGCGCCGCCGCCGCCGCCGCCGCCCCGCTGCCCGCTAAGTTCGAGGCTGAGGCCTAACTTATTTGCCTCTGGTAAATAAGAGAGGGCGTGCTCCCACAACTGCAGCGGAGACTGAATGAACTGATGATAATGATGAGATGCTGCATTTCTGTTTTTTGGAAGTTGTATGAAAGTGTCTTTGTCAGATATCGTTAAGAACGTTAGCACTTCAAACTAAACACTGGTATCACGTTCTTTAGGTTTGTATAGTATAATAAGTGCTAATTTGCAACAGAAATATATAAGTACTTAGTTTATATTGTGCAGTCGACTGTACTTTCCTTTTCATTCAAATACGTAGTAGTTTCTCGATTTCGCAACGTGCGTATGAGTCAGTTGTTTTGCCGTCGCGTCCTTCAGAAAGTTTTCAGGAAAAATTATCGCACTGTCGAGAATGATGCATACTTACAGCTACATTAGTATTTGCACTTTCGGTTCAACTTTAAAAACTTTACTGCATTTTGACTAAATTAAGTATTTCTTACTTACTCTATCAATTTTAGATGCTGAAAAACCAATATTCACCAGTACGAGATACGGGTAATTAAATTTCAATAATTAAAAATTAAATTTCAGTAACAGCCCTGGTAGCACAGTAGATTATATTAATATTTTTGGCATTGAAGTATAAATAAATAAATAAATAAATTATACTGTGCTGGTAGGGCATGTTCTAAGTCGGCTTTATGGCTACCACAGAACATAGAAAGAGGTGGCTACCATCCGTAACAACAAATATACTTAGAAGGTGGAAGAGTTCCTGCAATTTATGGGAGTTTATCTTTATAATTACGCTGGACGCAGGCCGCTACCAACCGGGTAACATGGAAAGCATTGGGGGAGGCCTATGTTCAGCAGTGAACGTCCTATGGCTGAGATGATGATGATGATCTTTATAATTGCATTAATTTTACCCATGCACACATTGTATTGTACCAGTCCTACCTACATTATTCACGAGCCAAAATATGAGAATGAAACACTTTCTCCTGAAGTCATTCTTCACACGTGACTTGGCAAGCTTTCATAACAAATAGCTCATATTTGTTGTTTGTATGGCTAATTTTTCACAACAAGTGGTATTGTTATTTATTAATTTCTTCACTGTGCTCTATCTTATGTGTAATGATGTGATGTTACCTCTACATAGTCCAGTCATAGTTAAAAAAGGGAAAACAAATCTCAAGTTCTCTAAGCCTAAACGCAGACCACCGATTTTTAGTTGGCCGATAGTTGGGTCGGGCTGTTAATCAGTATGGAGATGTAGGCATGTAAGTGCGCACATTAACATCGATTCGGACCAACTAAATATAGGCCGACTAAAAATCGGTGGTCTGCGCTTAGACTAAATCTTTTTTCATGTACCTAAGTTGTTTTGGTGAGTGCTTCACATGGAGCTTCTTTGAATTTGTCATTAATTTACTTATAATGATGATTTATAGCAATGATTCCAAATGCTGCGTGACTCACAAAGCGAATGGGAATAAGCTTGCAAATAAATTCACGGAAAACCCTAAAATGATCCAATTTGTCCTAAATAAATCAATAAGTAATTTTATTATTTTGCGTCATCATTATTCAACTCCATGCCTACTAATTAATTCAGTCAGTGCATGAGGGATGGGAGCGGCACGGAGGTGATTTTGTGACTGTCAAACGTTAACGAGACTTCAGATTTGTATGCCCTTTCACGTCTTGATATGTCAATGTCCACCTCTCCCATACCTACCGTGGTCCGCGGACCACTTGGTGGTCCCTGGAGGCATTCCAAGTGGTCCACGAAGACATCGTAATAAACAAGTGACGTGACGAGTCGAGTCAACACAAAGCAAACAGCGCACAGTGGGCAAGAAATCGACCTCCTCTTTCATAGGATTTTGAAAAAAAAAGTGGTCCCTGACAAGACAGAAATTTGGTAAAATGGTCCCTCAGTCGTGAATTAAAAAGGTTAAGACTTAAGAACCACTGCTCTAGAATGTAGAGCTAGACCTATAGTTACAGCTTGCTCGTGTCTCTCAAAGAACTTTTTTATTAGTTCAGAACCAGACCCCATACATAGGCAATAGTATCTCGCAAATCTAGCAGTCGTAGCTTCACAGGTATTTAAGAAATATTTCATCTTCAAGCAAACTTGCATATTCCTGCATCAGGGGCATGGTCTCCATCACCAGACCTACGTAGACCTTTGATTTATTTTTAATACTCACCACAGCGATGTCAGCAATGTAAATTACGTCCAGGCATGCGTGGCGCGGAACGCATGCGCGGAGACGTCAATAATTCTGCGACGGTTTGCCAACAATGCGCGGTCTGCCCGGTCCACGCCATGATTTATACAGAGTGAATTTCCAAGTGTATGTAGTTGAGAAATATTATCAAAACTAAGAAATAATAGCAAAAATGCTAAAAACATCTGTAAAAACTCAAATTGGAACAGAAGAGAGAAATATCATTTAGGTCTGGAGCTAGAAATTGAACCTTGATATTAGGATAAGAAACAGTCTTTCAATGTTTTACACTTATTATTATTCTGTGGTTTTACCTATTAGCAGTTTGCAAAGGAATTGAACTTTTTAAAAGAATTTTTGCTCTATTAGATTTGACAAACTACTTCCTGAAAATTCACCCTGTATAAGCGCCAACTAAAAGGCTCGCTATCGCTATCGCGAAACTCCGTTCTAAACTAAATAAGAAAACGCTGAAGAAACGAAGAATATGCGATACTAAACTGATGGATCCATGATTTTCCAAAAATGGTACTTTGTTATTTACAGATTCAAGAAATAAAATTTGATAAGCAGAGTAGAATGTAAATAAAATAAAATTAGTGTGCTACTACCCTCGAAAACGAAAACTACAGTTTTGTTTTTCGGACTCTACAGGTCTTGAAAAAGTTCTAAACACTGTTTTAAAATAAATGTACAGTTTTAAATACAGAAAATTTAAAACAAATTATATAAAATAATGAAATATTGCAGTTAATACCTTGCTCAAATCTGATTACATAAAGTAAATTAATATTATATCTAAAAATGTGCTTACGCGACCTAACGATGTCTAAAGAAAGGGATACCACCATGAGACCTTCACTTAAAATAAAACGAACGTTTAAAATAAACAAATTTTAATTTATTGATATAATAACTAAAAAAAATATTTTACACAATACATTATCATTAGTTTTATAAGACTAAGAATAATTATTTTTAAACATATCAAAGACGTGGACTAGCAAATAAAAATAACTTATACAAATCCTTTTTCATTTTAAATACAAGTGTCAAAGGAATCTGATATACAGTTTAGGGATATTAGTTTAACTTCCTAAACGCTCGAGGAAACCTTCCTGACCGCTACTCAACCTGATCACGCACGTCTGCATTCTAGACCTTACAGCTCCCACACTAGGTTCACTTTAGTACGTATCTCATTCAGAACCTCACCCATTTTCGGATGCTAAGGTACAGTTCCCTCCATATTTTAAGTAAAATACATTATNTTACCAGATGTGATTATGCAAAATTATTTAGTATATTTATATTTTCAATTATTTATGCAAACAATCAAGACGCCATCGCGCCATGCGCCATGTTCAAGTTAAGAAAGAGAAAGCGATCTTGTTTTGACGTTAGAGCGATAAGGATGCGTGCGCTGCGGACATAGATTAGTTATTGCAGAATCGTTAAAACTATAGCTATCTCTTTCATTTGCGTGCTATTTCGTATCTTTTGTTTCACTTATCAGTTATATTTGTCAATGTGTGCAATTTGGAATAGCTCGTCGGCACGGATTAAAATCGTAATTTCTATGAACGTAACATATCTATAGTTCTGTAATATCATTGGTAATCGTCTATTCGAGTAACAAAGATGATTGTTTACTCGAATACGACACACCAACATACAACCTTAGCCTTTTAAATATACATAATTTTAAGGAAATTAATTAATTAACTCTGCTAATACATGTTTACTTACAATGTGTATTTAATTTACTGTTTTATATAAAATGGTTTTCTTTTAGAACAAAAAAATAAACTCTTACATGTCACAAATGTAATTAGAAATAGGAAAGATTATAACAGATAGTGAGAGAAAAGATAAAGTTTAATAAACATGCAATTATAAATAAGCAGGTATTTACAATATTATTATATTGATTATTTTTGGAGCAAGTAAGTTTCAAAAAGTTAGACATGATTAGGTATTTCATCAAATAAACACATACTTATAAATACCAAGCGAAACCACTAAACCTAAATTAATTAAGAGACGAAAAAATTTAGTTACTCATAAGAAGAGAAACGTACTGGCACTAAATGACTTTTGTGGAGTATAAAATATGTACAGTTGTCCTGAAAACAAACTTCATGAAAATCTTCCACCAAATGGTTCTAACTCTGTAGCTCTTAGTATCATAAAATTATGCTGAAAACTGGAGCTCGATGCCAATGACGGTTTTCGCGAATGAAAGATCCGCTAGATGGCGGGACGTGGATGTGGGGTCTGACTGCTGCGTGATTGGTGGATTTTGACATATCTGTCAATGTCATGTCAAAAATAACCAATCATGCAGCATTTGGACCTCGCGTCTACGTATTGCCATCGGCGGATCGGATTTTTCATTCGCGAAAACTCTCATTGCAATCTCAAGTATAATTGATTGAATTTCTCAATAATGAGTACAATCCTTCTGATTTAATTTTGGGCGTTAAAACTCATAATTGAGTATTGAGTATTGAGTAGGCTTTAAAAAGCACTTTTACATTAAGTAAGTACCTGTACTACGGTCCTAACTTTCGTAGCATCTAGATATTGTTTATAGTACGACATAAAAAGTTTTATCAGTCTCATTGTATAGGAAAGTAAGTATTAATATTGTGAACCTATTTACTCGTAGTCAGACAGAAGTAAAACTTTTGAGAAAAATTGCCAAATAAGATGCATTTATTGGAGCCACATTATTTCCATAAAGTTTGTTTCCAATGTGTAGTGTCGTGTCTAACGAATGAAATCTAGTGGTATATCTGATTCAATCGACTCCTTACTGGTGGCAGCTCCATAGGGAGTGGCATCTCGCGCGCCAGCTCGCCGTCATTCTGTGTACATCAACGACGCCATTTTAACAATCAAATTAATCGTAATGAGACGCTAAAAAGTACTCTAATTCGTCTATGTCATGTTTTGTGAGTTGAGGTGATCTAACTAGGTAGGTTTACTTAGTTACTGATGGCGCATGATTTTCATGTAGGTAAGTTACTACGTGAACGTGTAGAGTCGACTCCCATTTTGTTAAGATGTTGTGTGTTGCTTATTTTATAATCTTCTGCGTGTAAAGTAACTTATAGGTACATTTATCTAGAAACGAGTAAACATTATTCCAAATTAATATGGATATTAGGTAAACGTGTAAGAAGTTATCGTCTTTAGACGTTTTCTTTTGAGCTTATTTGATCTTTTAAGGAATCCATTAAAACGTCTGTAAATTTTCTAATCCTGAAACATCAATAAAACCTCTTTGCCAATGAAAAACCCAGTGCATCTGACGTTACTCTATGGTTCTTTGTAGGGTTTCTGATTTCTCGACTTATTTTTTTTCTCGAGTTTCGAGAATTCTCGAGGCCAAAGTCTCGAGTTTTCTCGGGTCTCGAGTCTTTTAATGAAAACTGCTGAAATCGGTTGAAATTTAATAAAAACACAGGTTTTTTTATTCTAATATACCTACTTTTATGCACAACAATCAATATTAGAATTTAGTACCACTTATTTTGGTAAGGAAATAAACAAAAAATAAAATCTTCTTTCATAATAATTAATATTTACTAATAATCATAACAAAAGTCATAAACTCGCGTGCACTTTAAGGATAAATAACAATAAAAATCTGAAGCTACAATTGAATCACTTGTTTTCTAAAGAACACAAGTCCAAATAGCAAAATTACGATAAATAAATAAATAAATTTTCAATTTTTTTAGACTAGTCGATACCACGCTTCCAAGCTATCTATGCACATGTCCTGGCAGCTTTTAATTAAGGCTACACTATAAACACGTATTGTTTTCAATGTTTTATCCAGTTAATTGTGTATGTCTTGTTAGCTGTCCTTAAATAAATAAATAAATAGTTTTTTTTATGAACAAAAAACATTTTTAATAAATTTTTAAATTTCTTACAGATAACGACTTGAATAAACTTTACGAGGAGGCACGAGTACCTAACCTAACGTCTGTTAGGTAAGGTAACTGTCTAGTTAACAAATTTTTCAGTCAGATTAAACATACATAACAAATATAGCATACTCGTTGGTGAACATTATTACTTAGTTTCGATTGAGATCATGACTTGCAAATCAAATCAGTTAAAAAAGGAAAGACTAGGCCAGTCTAAAAGCAACGTTGACCTATTAAATAATAAAAAAACTTACTTTTGTCTAAGAAAATCGGCTTTCTAGAATATTAAAGCTTCAAAATCGAAACTCGAGAATTCTCGAGCTCCGGTAATTTTTTTCTCGTCTCGAATGAAGCCAAATTTCTCGAGTTTTCTCGAGTTCGAGAAAGCTCGAGCAGAAACCCTAGTTCTTTGACAGCGAGTTTTGGCGGGAGTCCAAGCGACGCATGCGCGCCTGCCAGCGGCCATTAAATTTACGACGAACAACAATTTTTTAAACAAATCTCGAGCCAGGCCAAAGTCTTTGATATCGTTCAATTACTTGCGCAGATAACTAAGAAATCTATTGTTTTATTGAACTTGCTTCCAACACGTGATGCAAATAATAACTTTTTTTTATTTTGTGTGTTTTCAGATTATTTCTGCTAGATTCTTCAAGTGCTGGCCGAAAAATAATGAAATATTTGGAGGATATAATTTTTAAACAACCACCCACAGTACCTACTCATATTAGTGAAAAACGGCGAATATTTTTAAACTTGATAAATTCAGATTATTTAGCTTTCAGCATCGATATGCTTTCAGCTTTCATAGTTGAAAAAAAAGTTATCTTGAAAGTAATTTGATTAAATTAAAAGGACTGGATTTTATTGAAACTCTACATTTTTATTTGTTTTATGACAGGAGAGAGTAGATATAGCAACAGACCACATGCAACTAAAGAAATAAAATTAAACAGTCATGTTACACTCAGATTTACTGAATCTAGTAGGTACCTATAATACGAGTATTTTATAGAATTTTATACGGGACGCCATCTACGCAGCAATGTAATATAAGCAATATTTAATTAACTAAATGTAGTAGAGCTATTTGCTTGAATTTAAAAAGAAAAGTATATTCTAACCCTCGAAACCCTCAGTTCTTTAACCGACCTATATTTATTTCTAACTAATTGCCAAACAGTATAAATACCCGGAGGCCGTGACCGGGGGCAGCGGGTTCGACGCCCGGCTGAATCGACACCACTTGACTGATTACTAATGAGTTTGCTGTAGCTATGATCAAAGATTCGATATGCATTTCAGGTATGGCATGCGTGGCACCATTTTCGTATTTTGGTATGCAATAAAAATTATACATATAATGCATACCTTTGCGCCTTGCGGTGTTTACGTACTGTATTGGATATCGATTCATTTACAATTTCGGCGTACCTAAGTACATTAGTTTCTTATGAAAAGTGAATTAGTGAGTAGGTAGTTTAAAAACCATCACTTTATAAGACTGAAAAGTATCAATTTTCATCAATTATTGGTAGCTACAAAAGCTGCTGAGTTACCTGTAGCTACCGAGTTACAATTTTCTATCGGGAAAACTCGCCTGACTTTACATTGAAAATCTAAACAATAATCAGATAGATTTCATATTAATTTTCCTAGCCTAATACTTACTTAATTTTATTTTGCCGCGCCAATATGTCTACCCAAATACAGTTAAATATACGATAATCAGATTTATTAGTCAGAGTTCTCTGAACTCCATCTCAAGAGGTTTTTTTAGAGCAACAAGTACTAATAAAATTCTCAGCCTACACACTGTCTGTTAACAATGGCGATAATTATAATAACATGATCGATGGGATTAATAAAATGGACAGTTAAATACATTCAAATGGTTAATCGCAATCATATAAAGTATCGACATCATGGCATATTTTCCAATTTAAATCCTGCACAACTATTTTGGAGATTAAGACGGAAAACTTCACCATTTCCTCGATTGCTTGAGGAGATATGAACAGCTGTCAGTAGAGTAAAATTTGTTTAAAAATCTATGTTCCTAATGTTACTCAAGCAAGTTCTACCGAACAGTTCAAAAGGAAAGTCAATTTTTAGTCCAATACTTGTAGAGGCGACCGATATCAGCTTCTGGCATTTTCTTTTACATTTTGAATGGGAAATTCTTTCTTCCACGCGCAGTCAGTTCTTTTAACTCCCATCTCTAAATGCTGTTGCCACACTTTTGCGTTTCGTTCGCCAGTTATTTGTAGCCGGCTGGACAGACATTATGGACAGATTAACCTATTTAAGCTTCTCTAACGTTCCCTGCATCTAATTATACAAGATATTTGGCAACTAATCGCTGTTTACTGAACTGAACATCGGTTTCGACACTGGTTTAGTGATGTTGGAGATAAGTACGTTGTAGTAATAATAACAAAAGATCTTTCAAGAATTGGCCAGTCACAGTAACCATTAGGTATTTTGTGAGTATTGAAAACAATATATTATGTAAAGTCAGCGTCAAAGAGTTCGAGATACCCAAAGTGGCCAAAATGTTGTCAACATTACGTTATTACCATTGTAACAAAGACATGTTGCGAACTTTTTGGCTACTTTGGGTGTCACCAACTATTTGACTAGGAGTAAACCAGTCATTTACTCGGAAAATTGTTTATGTAAACAAACATTTCTCAAACAGAGTAGGTGCGAGTGCCATAAAGTTTATTTACTCATTAATTTGATATTGTTATTATGAACTTTCCAAGAAAATCTTCTTCTTTTTAGGCCACAAGCTAAGACAGTTGACTGTTAACTAATCAATCGCTAAACCCTTTCAAGAAAGTTCAATGAATTGTAGAAACCTTCTTCTATCTAACAACATTATCACAGACGAAGAAAAATTCAATGTGAAATAAGATCCTTGCTGAATCTGCATAAACCAAATGAAATCTCGGAGTGAGGTATGAACTGCGTTTTGTCGAGCTTCAGTTACCAATAAAATCTAAGTATAACGAGTTCAAGGAACAATCCGTCGGAATTATAGTGCGCGCTGGACTCCCGCCAAAACCGTCGAATGCACAAAGAAAATAAAAGGATAATTATTGCGTAACCGCCAGTTAATTTAATAATTATTTAATTAAAATCCTAAGAACCGTTATTAATTTGCCTATAAACTCCGAAAATTATGTACTACGGTAGGGTTGATTAGTTTGACAAAAGCTTAAAAAACTATGGTTTCTTTCTCATGTGAAGTTTTTCAGTGAAATATCAACAATCAACAATGTACGCATTATTAAAAATTTTCACCTAATTTATCATATTAATTTGGTTCGTTGGTTTAGAAAACTATCTAGTATAAAAGAAACCAGTAGGTAAAGAACTGCATGCGTTGCTCTACACTGAAATCTACATCAAAATGAATTTAAGCTTTTGCCAATTTACGAACCGAACTTGTAAATAACTATTACTTGTTTACACTGGATCCGTCGTTTGTTTGTTTTGGGTTTGTTTCAGGATTTCAGCCAATAACAAATATCCTAAATACTTGTGTTGGTTATTACAATGTCTCAAATAAATAAGCTTGTGTTGTTTTGTTAGTGTGTCAGTGAATCTAACTACAAAAATGTGCTATAAATACTATAATGTGCAGTACAAAATACTTAAATAGGACTTAGGTCACCTCCTTGCGGCACACCTTGCGTGACCTTGTTAGAAGCCTGTGCTAAATCTAAAAGGACAAGATTTGACTTACCCAACTTACAGGGAAAAGTTTGTAACTGAGGTTTGTGAGGAACTCTTTTTTTTGAGGGTCGAACATGTCTGAAGGCTTGAACCCTCGTTTGGTGACGAGGGCGCTGTTCACGCTTGACGAGGATTTGACGTCATCGTAGCTGTCGCGATGCACGATCCGGTCGTTGATTTTATGGATGCTGGACATCTTGTTCGAGGAGTACTGACTCTCGCTGATAGTCATCATCTTGATCCAGTTTTTCGAGGTTTATTTCACTGTTTACACTATCGTTTAGTTACGTCGATGGTTTTATTTGATCTGAAATTGGTGTTTCGTTAGTCACTCAGCAGCACAGTGGTTTGCAGACTGCAACTTGCAGAGAGCAGCTCTACTTCGAAATCTTAAAAAGAATATCTCAACATTATTATGGAACGGGAGGAAATGTGATTTATGATAGCAAAATTTTTGATAAATTCTCCATTTCGCTCTGGTTTACATTTGACCAGTTTGTTTAGATTCCAAAGCTTTGAAGCTTCAAATATTGCAATAGCCCAACAATACGAAACTATTTATTTAAGACAGTGATGCCAGCAATACAATCTTGATGTTTTCTGATTTAAGAGAGGTCGCAGCTGTAATGGCCAGAAGTGACGTCATTGCTTCAAGGTTTGATGCTTTAGTCAGTGATTAATATCGCCTGAAGAGTAGGCCGATGTGCCCCATTTGTGCCACTTTGCGTGCATACACTAAAACTACTGAAAAATTCAGCTGGCAATTTTAAAGTTACAGTTATTGGTTTCAAAAACAATGGGGTAAGGTTCATAATTGCTTGCAGAGCTAGCTAGACAGCAATTGTGGGTGGTAAGACCAGAAATAATGCTGCCCGAATTTCAGTTGCTGGGCGGTTGTACAAATTTTTTTCGGCGTTCTGTTTACGTGAGCTCACTGCGCTGAGTAACGAACATCAACACCTTTTTTGTAAATGCAGAGAAATGGCGAAGTAATGTTGAAGTAACAATACATTGTAAGAGATACCTAAGTAGTTTTGTTTCTAAAGTTTACACATCACAAAAAATAAATCAACTAAAGAAAAGAAAGAACTTTCAAAAAAATATTAGCAAAACAGTTTAATTTAGAAATAATTTGAATGCAAAATTGATAATGAAAAACATTTAACTACCTACTCGTATTAAAAACTTGGACTAAGTTCAATTTAACAGTTAACTAAACGCCTGTGTACTACCCACATGCAAACAAAACAAAAGAGACAATATGGCGGCAGTTGACACATCTACCAACGCGGGCCAGTGCTGTTTTAAATTAAATAAACAACAAAAAACACCAAAATTTCTATAAAACACAGTCCGTAAATTATCACTAATAAATGCACTAAATAATTAACCGTAATCGTTAAAAATTAAGACCGAAATTAGAGTGCGGGGTGCTAAGACGTGCGTTCGGCGCGAGAAGTTTTCGAACTAACTAAAATAAGTTTTGAACATTGCATAATACGCAGAAAAGCTCCGTTTGGTGTAGGATGACGACGGCTTTGGGGATTTTCCTGGACAGCGTGGACGTCATAACGATCTTACACTCACAAACATTATAAAATGTCTACCTACCTTACTAATAAATGGGAGGATGTTCTATTCCTTCACGCAAAAAAATCTGAGCGAATTTTCATAAGATTTTAGAATGCTATAATAATAAGTTTAACGAAATTCACGCGGGCGAAGAAGGGAGAAGAAAAAAAAGAAATTAATTTATTGATCCTCCTTAGTAGGTATAACATCTAATCAAATCTTATTTAAATTTTAACTACTCGTATGAGTGAATCGCACTAACATTGCAGCGTTTATTCGTGATTTTCTGATACCGTCGTGGCCGTGGTTTTCTGACAATTCCCGTCTGTCCGTCAAGTCCCAAACCCATGGCGGCCGCAGCCGGCCCGTACTCTGCCAAAGCTAATTTGGTCGCGGTCTGCGTTTCGCCACCGCACCATGTCGGCTGTACAATCCAATGCTTTCCTAACCATACCCTGGACTTTGGAGTCTACGTCTTATGGGAATAATTAATTGAACGGAAACTACGCCCAAATTAGTAAGTTTCCAGCTTGTCTCCTCGCCCGCATGGACGTGCGCTTTTGGAGAGAAATAAAGAAAATAGCTCTAACTAAGCAGAGATTTTTCATGGGGAATACCTACTAGGCGTTAGATCTATCAGATAAGCGTGTAATACACGTTATTACTTTTTGGAGTACTCAAAGTGGGCCTAAACTGTATCTTGCACAAACGTTTCTCGTCCCGTGTATGATATGCAAGCAAATAATAGATCCGTTGGATAAATTGAGAATAGCTGATGAGAAGGCACTCCTCAACTTCCGTCTGGTCAGCATGGGGACGGGGAGTGTAGGCCAAATCCTTAACTTATTTGCCTCTGGTAAATAAGAGAGGGCGTGCTCCCACAACTGCAGCGGAGACTGAATGAACTGATGATGATGATGAGATGCTGCATTTCTGTTTTTTGGAAGTTGTATGAAAGTGTCTTTGTCAGATATCGTTAAGAACGTTAGCACTTCAAACTAAACACTGGTATCACGTTCTTTAGGTTTGTATAGTATAAGGTGCTAATTTGCAACAGAAATACATACTTACTTTATATTGTGCAGTCGACTGTACTTTCCTTTTCATTCAAATACGTAGTAGTTTCTCGATTTCGCAACGTGCGTATGAGTCACTTGTTTTGCCGTCGCGTCCTTCAGAAAGTTTTCAGGAAAAATTATCGCATTATTGACAATGATGCATACCTATAGGTACGTAGTATTTGCACTTTCGGTTCAACTTTAAAAAATCTTTTACTGCTTGTTAAAAATAATAAGTTACCCATTTCTTACTTTCTCTAAAATTTTTAGACTTATTGAAAATCCTACAAAATCAATCTTTTGCAGAAGGCATGCATATACCTACTATTGTAAAATTAAATAATTTAGTAACAGCGATGGTAGGTAGGGCTTGTTCGAAGTCCTCATGGCTACACAACTATCATCATAACTAAATCTGTCGCTGTCACAACAGCATTGTTGTGTTCTTGGAGTAGAAGGAAGGTGAAAGACAGTTCTTGCAGTTTAATGGGGTTTATCTTTAATCTAGTTACCATCCTGCATTAATTTTACCATTGCACATTGTATTGTACCTACATTATTCACGAGCCAAAATATGAGAATGAAACACTTTCTCCTGAAGTCATTCCTCACATCACACGTGACTTGGCAAGCTTTCATAGTAGGTAAATAGCTCATATTTGTCGTTTGTATCGCAAATTTTTCACAACAAGTGGTATTGTTATTTATTAATTTCTTCACTGTGCTCTATTTTTATGTGTAATGATGTGCTGTTGCCTCTACATACATAGTCCAGTCAAAGTTAAAAAAAAGGGTAAACAAATCTTCAAGTTCTTTTTTCTGATGCCTTTGTTTTAGAGACTGCTTCGGATGGAACACAAGAATAAAAGCTTCTTTGAATTTGTCATTCATTTACTTATGATGATTTATAGAATGATTCCAAATGCTGCGTGACTCACAAAGCGAATGGGAATAAGCTTACAAATAAATTCACGGAAAACCCTAAAATGATCCAATTTGTCCTAAATAAATCAATAAGTAATTTTATTATTTTGCGTCATCATTATTCAACTCCATGCCTACTATAGGCCTAGCGATTAACTCAGCCAGTGTCTGAAGTATGAGAGCGGCATATGAGGGTGATTTTGTGACTGTCAAACGTTAACGAGACTTCAGATTTGTATGCCCTTTCACGTCTTGATATGTCAATGTCCACCTCTCCCATGCCGCGGCCGCTCCCATACCTACCTACCGTGGTCCACGGACCACTTGGTGGTCCCTGGAGGCATTCCAAGTGGTCCACGAAGACATCGTAATAAACAAGTGACGTGACGTGATGAGTCGAGTCAACACAACGCAAACGGCGCACAGTGGGCAAGAAATCGACCTCCTCTTTCATAGGATTTTGAAAAAAGTGGTCCCTGACAAGACAGAAATTTGGTAAAATGGTCCCTCCCTCGTGAATTAAAGGTTAAGACTTAAGAACCACTGCTCTAGAATGTAGAGCTAGACCTATAGTTATAGCTTGCTCGTGTCTCTCACAGAACTTTTTTATTAGTTCAAAACCAGACCCCATACATAGGCAATAGTTTCTCGCAAATCTAGCAGTCGTAGCTTCACAGGTATTTAAGAAATATTTCATCTTCAAGCAAACTTGGAAGTTCTTGCATTAGGGCATGGTCTCCATCACCAGACCTACGTAGACCTTTGATGTATTTTTAATACTCACCACAGCGATGTCAGCAATGTAAATTACGTCCAGGCATGCGTGGCGCGGGCGCGGAACGCATGCGCGGAGACGTCAATAATTCTGCGACGGTTTGCCAACAATGCGCGATCTGCCCGGTCCACGCCATGATTTATACAGAGTGAATTTTCAAGTGTACGTGGTTATGAAATATGTATCGAAACTAAGAAATGATAGCAAAGATGCTAAAACATTTGTAAAAAGTCAAATTGGAACAGAAGAGAGAAAAATCATTTAGGTCTGGAGCCAGAAATTGAGCCTTGATATTAGGATAAGAAAAGAAACAGTCTGTCAATGTTTTACCTATTAGCAGTTTACAAAGGAATTGAACTTTTTTTTTAATTTTGCTATATTAGATTTGACAAACTACTTCCTGAAAAATTCATCCTGTATAAGCGCCAATTAAAAGGTTCGCTATCGCTATCGCGAACTCCGTTACAAATAAGAAAACGCTGAAGAAACGAAGAATATGCGATACTAAAACTGATGGATCCATGATTTTCCAAAAATATTAGGTACTTTGTTATTTACAGGTTCAAGAAATAAAATTTGATAAGCAGAGTAGAATGTCAATAAAATAAAGTTAGTGCGCTACTACCCTCGAAAACTAGTTTAGTTTTTCGGACTCTACACGTCTTGAAAAAGCTCTAAACACTGTTTTAAAATAAATGTACGGTTTTAAATACAGAAAAGAATAAAACAAATTTTATACTGAAATAATGCAGTTAATACCTTGCTCAAATCTGATTACATAAAGTAAATTAATATTATATCTAAAAAATCTAAAAATGTGCTTACGCGACCTAACGATGTCTAAAGAAAGGGATACCACCATGAGACCTTCACTTAAAATAAAACGAACGTTTAAAATAAACAAATTTTAATTTATTGATATAATAACTAAAAAAAAAATATTTTACACAATACATTATCATTAGTTTTATAAGACTAAGAATAATTATTTTTAAACATATCAAAGACGTGGACTAGCAAATAAAAATAACTTATACAAATCCTTTTTCATTTTAAATACAAGTGTCAAAGGAATCTGATATACAGTTTAGGGATATTAGTTTAACTTCCTAAACACTCGAGGAAACCTTCCTGACCGCTACTCAACCTGATCTCGCACGTCTGCATTCTAGACCTTACAGCTCCCACACTAGGTTCACTTTAGTACGTATCTCATTCAGAACCTCACCCAATTTCGGATGCTAAGGTACAGTTCCCTCCATATTTTAAGTAAAATACATTATAATATTACAGTTAAAGGTTAAAATATGGCAGTCCATTCCAATATAATATGATGTAAAAGTGAGAAAAATTGGTCTGAATAGAAAATAACCAAAGGAGCCATCGAACTATCCATTAAATATACATATTACCATAGTATGCTATATTATGTTATCGTACATCGATCGGAAAAGAAGCCGTTACAGTAGAAAACAATTGTTTTAAAAAAGTCTTATCCTATGAATAATTATTCTAGCTGACCGGGCAAACATTCTTGTCTCAATGTCCAAAGACTCAAAGCTGTACGGAGAATACCTTTGCTCGGTGCGCTTTCCCGCTCATAGTGACAGCGCGTTGGGCAAACAAAACGTCCATGATAGCGAAATATCCCTTACTTTAGACAAATAGATAGTGCGTGCGTATAAAAACGTATCCGTTACTAAAAACTATAGTACAACAAAATTCAAGACAGAAATACAAAACTTGTAACATACAAAATTCGTACAAAATGGCGGATCAAATGGTCTGATATGCCGTTGATTTTATAACAATCATCTTTTTGTCTTTAGTCTGAAAGCGTTCGCCATTATACGGCTTTTATTAACGGATGTGAATGAAAAATACAACTCAATATAACAACAAAATTAAGTCTGAATGTGACGTTATACATTACATCTATGCGTATAATTTGAGCACGATACATACTGTTATTATATAAAAACATGAAAGCATAGTATATCCGGACATACATTTAGCTCCCAATGTTGCCGTCTCATGCCGCGCCTGCCTTAATATAAACATCTACATATACCTATCTAAGACGAAGGCTTATAAAGAAAACACAACGCGCCTCGGCCGAAGGACAACCGATAGCGCCCTTCACTGCGAAAGTCAAAATTTGTGCTTAAACCCAGAATACTGCAACGAAGGTACTTACCGAAACTAATGTTACCATAAACGAAACATTGGCATCAATTTTGCGGATAGCAACACAGAATGTCGAAGTTACAAATGCCTATCTGTATCATTTAAATCCTTAAATACCTATGGCCTAGCTTAATCTAGTAAAAATGAACTTCGGGACGTCGCACTCGATGTATGAGTGTCCCGACAAACTAAACAATGGGTGAAAAGTGTATGAGAACTGAAAACACCCTCGGATGATCTCCATGCGAGACAAGTCCCGCTTTTTAAATCGTGAAATAAGTACCGTCTCGTGACATTAGTTTGATTAGTAATATTAAATCGTGTTAATTAATAGTATTCATTTGTTGTGCACGCAGACGTTAGCACTGGTGTATAACATTATACAAACCTATACAAGTACATTCGAGCATACATACATGGAATCACGGAAATAGATTTAAAAATAGGATTTTTCTGACGTTTAATTTCATGCAACTCTTTTAGAATGTTCTGCAATCGCTCAAGACCATGAAGCGACATCCTCTCATACAGGAAGGAATGAAAGTCAGCAAGAATGCTGATGTAAGCGCAAAAAGCATAGTGCAGTTATAAATATTAGTACACTCTGGTGCAAGTACTTTTATATTTTGTGGCGACGAGTATTTTACAAGTAGTTAATATTGGTTTCTAGAAAGATATAGCAATTATCGGCTAGCTTTCGTTTGTAGGACGCTTCTGTTAGAATAGAGACAATGTCCTTTCACGTTGCATTTAGCAGATAACTGGCCATCTCTTCTAAAATAATGTGTGTTGTGTATTTTTCTTTGAAGACTATTAAATTGTGAGAATTTTTCAGATGAGAATAGACTTGTTTTGGTCTGCATTTCGAAGTTTTTTGTACGATTCCTCCATTTAGGCCCTTCTTGCGAGTTGTGTTGTGACAGCATTTGCGACCAGATGTTTGTAATATTCACCAATGCACAGAGTTATTTTAGTCTTTAAAACCTAATTGCATGTCCACAAATAAAAAATAGTTAAAATGTAAAAGTTATAAAACGTTATTCATAAGGACTGTATATTACTTTTAATGATTAGTTACATGAAGTTTTATATTAATGCGTTTTAAACGCTGTTTACGAGTTGAATATTGCACACTTGTGTTTAATTTGCAATTTCATAGTGACATAGCGTTGTAAATGATCGGGGTGTTTATTAATACAAAATTTGAGAGTAATAAAATCACTGTATTGAAAAATGTCAGAGTATAAACAACTAAGTTGTAACACCGGCATGGCCCGTGCGAGTCTCCCGGCCCCTCGCCGGTTTGTGCTGATAATAAATGCTGAAGTAGTCAGTGGCCGTTCGTATCGTATCGGCACAGGGCTAAAAATTTGTGCAAAACGCCAAATACAGTCAGATAGGATCGGGAAACCTCTACTTTGATCGAAGTTTGAATAAACAGTTGAATTTCACAACTGTCGTGGTTACTTTCACACGGCTCTGATTGAAAAAGGACAGCACATTAGTCAAATTCAATTTAGGAATACACACCACACGAGTTCTACAGTTTATGGAATGGCTCGCGTAGAGGTTTCGCGACGTAGCAAAGTAAATTGTAGAAATTAGAAATAATTACATTTCCATCAGAGATCTCACCAATCATCTCGCTCCTTACATTTATACGTGTGACTACACTAACATACAATAATTATTACATAATAAAATCATATAAATTAGCTTCGACCGTTAGAATTACAATTGTATATAAAGACGAACGAAAATTTTTCTCATTCAATTCAATAAATTACACATAGATACATTAATAATAGTATTTGGTTCTTGAATATAGATTTAGAACTTGCACGACTTGCTTTGTGCGATGTCATCTGCAAAGAGGGAGAGGGCGCTTAGTCCATGTACTTATGCTACGCTATGTCTCTACAAGCTATCCAAATTACAAGTTATATACCAGGTTTTATTATGTTAACTTGGTTGTTGAATTTAATATTAAAATAAATCAATATAAAGAGGAAGGTATCATTGAAATTAGTTTCACAATTTTAGAAAAGGCGCTGTAGAAATAGAAATATTTCAAATGACAATTGCATAGACGCAATAATTGTAAAAGCGTTTGTTTCTCTTCACAAAGACATTCAAAAGATAAATAATTGAATCTCATAAAATAATCTTCGTTATTTCCCCTGAGATCATTACAATTAACAAGTAAATATAGGAAAAGTAAATAAGAAAAACATCAACTTACCAAGTCACAGAAACGAAATACAGCAGCGCAGACCCCTCGGTATAGGTATCGAGTGCTACTTGAACTAACCGTACCATATAATATATAATGTATGTATGTATTATGTATAATATGTGAACATTGAAACCAGACGCGCACTCTCGCACACACGCCGCATACTACTACATCCCACCGTAACATTAAATGCTTCAACTTTTGTTAGAAATTAACGTACTACTATATACCAGCGCGGCTGCCTGGCGAATGGGTGCCAAGTCATAGACAATACTTTGGTCTTGAAGAAAAATAACACAAATGTAACTTGCTACCTGACATGGGTACTTTATGGAACTTTCGTAATGCAAAATATGCTTTAACGTGTTTATTAATGCTAACTTTTGATTAGCAGTTGGTTTTGTCCATTAGGATTTACTAGCATGATGGTATTGTGCTTTAAATTATGTTGATTCCATAATCATGTTTTAAGCAAGCAATACATTAGTGTTCCTTGAAGCCCAAAGATTTTTCAACAAAATGGCGCCCGTTCGCAAAATGGCCGCACCGTAAATAAATAAGCGGTCGCGTGGTCGACCCCGGGACATCGTGTCGTATTAAAAAACGTCGCATACTCAAAAACTGTCAGATCAGTATTCGAAAGCTTACGTAATCACAAGCGGCCGCGGCCGGTCGATGGAGTGATCGGATAATGACCCGCGTGGCTTCGCATGGCGACTGCGAGCGGTCGCTATGCGCCGATGGCGACTACGATACGGTCGCCATCGGGGTGACCACACGATCGGGCCGGGAATTTATCACCAGTGATTTTATCACGTCCACTGCTGACAAGTCGACCGATAAAACTTGTGCTAGATAAAAATGACCATAGAAGGTAGACTTTAATAGAATCACTGTCAAATTCCCGTGGGTCAGTGGTCCCCCCGAGCGGCGGTTTCCCCTCGCGCGGGGCCCGGGGGGGGCGGCGTGCGTGGGGGGGCAGGGTAGGGTTGTCTAGTTCCAGATGCGCAGGAAGGAGTCCCAGGACCCCGTGGCAACAGCCATCCCGTTCTCGGTGACGCCTAAGCAAGACACGCGGTTGTCGTGACCGGCGAGGATTCCTGCGGAAGGAGAGACAGTGAGTTAGACAAGGTAATAGACGATAAAGTAGAGAGGGCAAGATTAGTTACAATATTAATATTTTCATAAATATACAAATTTGTTAAAGATTCAATAATCAATTCGGTCACATAAGGCCATAGTTGGACGTAAACCTCTTAAAGAACGGCAAAGAACAATTTTTCGCTTATTTTGTTCCCAGCTTTTACAAACTATCTTCTCGAAGTTGTCGGTCTGTCGATGTCGACGATTTACTTCTACCGGGACATTGGGTTTCGAAATTTCCATCCTCAGTGAACCTTTGGACCGATATAGGCATGCCAAATAAACCAGGAATCTTACTAATACTGCCATAAGCTGTTTTTCTTGAAACTGTCACCATACTTTTTAATTCTTCAGCTACATATACCAGTTCACTCTTTCGCGTAGAATCCCAGACGCTGCAGTGGAATCTTGCAACCCTAGTTGCGTGTCTAGCAGTTTAATGGGTACACCATACCCACTAAAATAACCTTGATGTCATCAGAAGGGCAAGGTTTTTTATCCACAATCCAGGGTTATTTTAGTGGGTATACCTCATCCACAGGATCAGCTGACATTATCGACATCTCGCAGCTGTATTCCGTTATCGCGCCCTGCATTAGAGTAATGGTGCGTCCACACTGGGACTTAAATCTTGGAGCAAAAGTAATGCGAGTGCGAGTACATGGCCAGCTCCTGGTCTGTGAGCTACGTACCAGCGCGCTAGTGATGTGTCCTGCTAGTGTGAGCTACGTACCAGCGCGCTAGTGATGTGTCCTGCTAGTGTGAGCTACGTACCAGCGCGCTAGTGATGTGTCCTGCTAGTGTGAGCTACGTACCAGCGCGCTCGCTCTTCATGGAATCCCACACGTTGCAGTTGAAGTCGTCGTAGCCGGCGAGCAGCAGGCGGCCGGACTTGCTGAAGGCGACGGAGGTGATGCCACAGATGATGTTGTCGTGCGAGTACATGGCCAGCTCCTGGTCTGTGAGCTACGTACCAGCGCGCTAGTGATGTGTCCTGCTAGTGTGAGCTACGTACCAGCGCGCTAGTGATGTGTCCTGCTAGTGTGAGCTACGTACCAGCGCGCTAGTGATGTGTCCTGCTAGTGTGAGCTACGTACCAGCGCGCTCGCTCTTCATGGAATCCCACACGTTGCAGTTGAAGTCGTCGTAGCCGGCGAGCAGCAGGCGGCCGGACTTGCTGAAGGCGACGGAGGTGATGCCACAGATGATGTTGTCGTGCGAGTACATGGCCAGCTCCTGGTCTGTGAGCTACGTACCAGCGCGCTAGTGATGTGTCCTGCTAGTGTGAGCTACGTACCAGCGCGCTAGTGATGTGTCCTGCTAGTGTGAGCTACGTACCAGCGCGCTAGTGATGTGTCCTGCTAGTGTGAGCTACGTACCAGCGCGCTCGCTCTTCATGGAATCCCACACGTTGCAGTTGAAGTCGTCGTAGCCGGCGAGCAGCAGGCGGCCGGACTTGCTGAAGGCGACGGAGGTGATGCCACAGATGATGTTGTCGTGCGAGTACATGGCCAGCTCCTGGTCGGCGCGGATGTCGAACATGCGGCACGTGGCGTCGTCTGAGCCGGTCGCGAACGCGAAGCCGGACGGGAAGAACTGAGGAGAAAATCAAAATCAAAAATATTTATTCAGTTTAGACCACAAGTGGCACTTATGAACGTCAATAGAAAATAATAAAAAAAGAAAAAGGTAGCCCTTATGGGGCACTTTACATGTCTCCTTATCTTTTGGGCCCTACCAGCGCTTCGAGACAAACATATGGCAAGTGCTGAGAAGAAACGCCGGAACAAACTCAGTCACCACTTNCGACTTGCATTGTGCGATGCCATCTGGAAAGAGGGAGAGGGCGCTTAGTCCATGTACTTATGCTACGCTATGTCTCTACAAGCTATCCAAATTACAAGTTATATACCAGGTTTTATTATGTTAACTTGGTTGTTGGATTTAATATTAAAATAAATCAATATAAAGAGGGAGGAATCATTGAAATTAGTTCCACAATTTTAGAAAAGGCGCTGTAGTAGATATAAATATTTTAAAAGTGACAGTTGCATTAGACGCAATAATTGTAAAAGCGTTTGCTTCTCTCGACAAAGACATTCAAAAGCTAAATCATTGAATCTCATAAAATAATCTTCGTTATTTCTCCTGAGATCATTACAATTAACAAGTAAATATAGGAAAAGAAAATAAGAAAAACAACTTACCAAGTCACAGAAACGAAATACAGCAGCGCAGACCCCTCGGTATAGGTATCGAGTGCTACTTGAACTAACCGTACCATATAATATATAATGTATGTATGTATTATGTATAATATGTGAACATTGAAACCAGACGCGCACTCACACACACACGCCGCACACTACTACATGCCACCGTAACATTAAATGCTTCAACTTTTGTTAGAAATTAACGTACTACTATATACCAGCGCGGCTGCCTTGCGAACGAATGCCAGGTCATAGACAATATTTCAGTCTTGAAGAAAAATAACAGAAATGTAACTTGCTACCTGACATGGGTACCTTATGGAACTTTCGTAATGCAAAATATGCTTTAGTGTGTTTGCATTGATGCTAACTTTTGATTAGCAGTTGATATTGTCCATTAGGATGATGGTAAATGCTTCATCAATTTATGTTGATCCATAATCACGATTTAGGCAAGCAATACATTAGTGTTCCTTGAAGGCCAAAGATTTTTCTCCAAAATGGCGCCCGTTCGCAAAATGGCCGCACCGTAAATAAATAAGCGGTCGCGTGGTCGACCCCGGGACATCGTGTCGTATTAAAAAACGTCGCATACTCAAAAACTGTCAGATCAGTAATCGTAAGCTTACGTAATCACAAGCGGCCGCGGCCGGTCGATGGAGTGATCGGATAATGACCCGCGTGGCTTCGCATGGCGACTGCGAGCGGTCGCTATGCGCCGATGGCGACTACGATACGGTCGCCATCGGGGTGACCACACGATCGGGCCGGGAATTTATCACCAGTGATTTTATCACGTCTACCGCTGACAAGTCGACCGATAAAACTTGTGCTAGATAAAAATGACCATAGAAGGTAGACTTTAATAGAATCACTGTCAAATTGCCGTGGGTCAGTGGTCCCCCGAGCGGCGGTTTCCCCTCGCGCGGGGCCCGGGGGGGGCGGCGTGCGTGGGGGGGGCGGGTGGTGTTGTCTAGTTCCAGATGCGCAGGAAGGAGTCCCAGGACCCCGTGGCAACAGCCATCCCGTTCTCGGTGACGCCTAAGCAAGACACGCGGTTGTCGTGACCGGCGAGGATTCCTGCGGAAGGAGAAACGGTATTTTAGACAAGGTAATAGACGATAAAGTAGAGGGCAAGATGAAGTTACAATATTATCTTAAACAAACAAGGTTAAATTCGTTAAAGATTCAATAATAAATTCGGTCACATAAGTCCACAGTTGGACACGTAAGCCTCTCAAAGAACGCCAAAGATCAATTTTTGAACAATGAGAAAAGCGTTTTGTCTATTACCAGCTAACTCCTCAAGGCTGTCTATCGACGATTAATTATCTCTACCTGGACATAGGGCTCCGAAATTATCTTCCATGTGAACCTTTGACTGATATCCGTGGATATGCCTTACTGGTTAGGAATTTAGGTTATCCTGCTAAACGTTATTATCCTCGCAACTGTCACCATAGTTTATGTTCAGTTGCAGCGATGTTCATACCAGTACACTCGTTCTTCAAAGAGTCCCAGACTTTGCAGGTGAAGTCCTGCAGCCCTAGTGATGTGTCCTGCAGTAGTGTGAGCTACGTACTAGCGCGCTCGCTCTTCATAGAGTCCCAGGCATTTCAGGTGAGTCTTGCAACCCTAGTGATGTGTGAGCTACGTACCAGCTTACGTGTCTAGCAGTTTAATGCGTACACCTTGCCCTTCCAATGACATCATTTAAACCATGCCTCGTTACAAAAGGGTACGTACCAGCGCGCTCGCTCTTCATGGAGTCCCACACGTTGCAGTTGAAGTCGTCGTAGCCGGCGAGCAGCAGGCGGCCGGACTTGCTGAAGGCGACGGAGGTGATGCCACAGATGATGTTGTCGTGCGAGTACATGGCCAGCTCCTGGTCTGTGAGCTACGTACCAGCGCGCTAGTGATGTGTCCTGCTAGTGTGAGCTACGTACCAGCGCGCTCGCTCTTCATGGAATCCCACACGTTGCAGTTGAAGTCGTCGTAGCCGGCGAGCAGCAGGCGGCCGGACTTGCTGAAGGCGACGGAGGTGATGCCACAGATGATGTTGTCGTGCGAGTACATGGCCAGCTCCTGGTCTGTGAGCTACGTACCAGCGCGCTAGTGATGTGTCCTGCTAGTGTGAGCTACGTACCAGCGCGCTAGTGATGTGTCCTGCTAGTGTGAGCTACGTACCAGCGCGCTAGTGATGTGTCCTGCTAGTGTGAGCTACGTACCAGCGCGCTCGCTCTTCATGGAATCCCACACGTTGCAGTTGAAGTCGTCGTAGCCGGCGAGCAGCAGGCGGCCGGACTTGCTGAAGGCGACGGAGGTGATGCCACAGATGATGTTGTCGTGCGAGTACATGGCCAGCTCCTGGTCTGTGAGCTACGTACCAGCGCGCTAGTGATGTGTCCTGCTAGTGTGAGCTACGTACCAGCGCGCTCTCACCTGTAGATGGAGCAGATGTTGTCAAGCCCATTGCAAGCCACGTAGGATCCGAATGTAGGATACGCGCAGGTCACGACTCACGAGGAGCGCAGCGGTATCGCTTGCGCCTTGTTGGTGGTGCCATCCCTCTCACGCCAAGCGAGATGCCAACAAGAGTGACAGTGATAGACCTGCATCTTGCCTGCTAGTGCTGTCCCTGTGTATGTAACTCACCTGTAGATGGAGCAGATGTTGATGACCCACGAGGAGCGCAGAGGTATCGCGTGCACCTTGTTGGTGACTCCATCCCTCTTACACCAAGCGAGGTGCAAGCATGAGTGACAGTGACAGACCAGTAGCTGTAGTCTTCCGTATGTAACTCACCTGTAGATGGAGCAGATGTTGTCGAGCCCGCCGCAGGCCACGTAGGAGCCGGACGGGGCGTAGGCGCAGGTCATGACCCACGACGAGCGCAGCGGTATCGCGTGCACCTTGTTGGTAGTGCCATCCCTCTCACGGCAAGCGAGATGACAGCAAGAGTGACAGAGATAGACCTGCATTTTCAACCGACTTCAAAAAAAGGAGGAGGTTCTCAATTCGACCCGTATGTTTTTTTTTTTTTTTTTTTTTTTTTTTTTATTTTTTCTCGTGTTAAATGAGTGGACGTCACTTTTCTTAGTAAATAAATGTATATGTTTACGGACATACATAATGTTATCAAATATGTATTGCGAAGCCACAGTCAATATATTGATTTCTTTAAAAACTTATCTAAGCGAGTCACGTGGTTTAAGACCGTATATTGCCCGAACAGCTCTTTTCTGTAAAATGAAAATTGATTCTATGTCTGCTGCTGAGCCCCACAGTAAAAGACCATAAGACATAATACTATGAAAATAACTAAAGGAAATACTATGAAAAAACTTAGAGAAAGGGTTAAGGTTCAATGTGTGATTGTCATCGACATTGGACTGTAGGTTGCTCTATGGTGTCAACCAGATAGAATAGAATATAATAGAAAAACCTTTATTTGACACGAAAACACAAATGAAAATGAACAAATAAAAGAAGAGAAAACACAAAAAAACACATTAAACACACAACATTACATTAGACAATACATAAGTCTCGTGCCAAAAAGGCCCCCGATCAGTATTTATCGAAACGCGCGTTTACGCGTGTCTCGACACTGGTTTTCAGCGGGTGCCTCTGTGCATAGTTGACATAAAAAGTCATAAAAATCATTTATTTATGCAAGTAGGCTTTTAAAAAGCACTTTTACACGTCCCAGTATTAACCCTATCACTTTCAGGACAATAAATGGGCCACTGCTGAGAAGAATCTTCTGCAGCAGACTGGGCTTAATTAGTTTGTACTAATAAGCATAAACAATGTGGCCTATTCAAAACATTATAAAAGAAATCACAAGCAACAAACTGGTGTGGTAGCACGAAGTCGCTGGATGCAGGTCACCACCCTGGCAGTATGGGAATCATTGGGGGAGGCCTATGTTCAGTGGACGTTCTGTGGCTGAAATGCTGATGATGATGACTCTTCTATTAAATTACTTTAGGCAGGCACACACAGCGGGTGCCCGCGGGCGTTGAACGTCTGCAGCTGGTATCCATGCTAGTTTTAGCTTAGACAGGTAGAATCCCGATTATCCGGATCAATTAAAACCAGGGGTGTTCCGGATAATCGAAAATCTGGATAATCGATTTCAAATTAAAATCAAACAAAAATTAACTTTTTACGATAGAAAGGGTTTTCAATACATTATTTTAGACCATTGGATTAATCCATTTCTTATAACAATGAACCAAGACGTCGTCTGTACCGTGTTACGGTGGCGGCGCCTTGCCGTTTTGATGGGTCCAGACCCTAAATCGATTATTAGAACCGTGAAGAATGAGTCCGGATAATCGGATATCCGGATAATCAAGATTCTACTGTATGTCATAATAAGGCGTTTCTTTGTCTGCTTGCACTGGCTATCTCAAAGCTTGGTGGATGCGTCGTAGGCCGTAATAGGGATGTTTCCTGGGTCAAAAAGCAAGAGTTTTAATTAGTCCGCCAGTTAACTTATCAAAAAATACTCTACACGTATTTTTCACTTTTTCAAACTAATGAAAATTTAAAGAGATAAAGCGCGCCAAAGTTCATAAGAAGAGGCCCGAGACGTCAATGCTTGCATAAAAGTGCCGCACGTTGTGGACGTCGTGCGGAACTTCAACGCACCATAACTATGTAATTATTTGTTAGTTTGACAAATAAAAATATATGTGTCCAATATTTTTTGATATTAACCTCCTGAGACCCCCGGTGTCACTCGTGACACTTGAGTATATATTTTTTTTACAGCGCCATTTATTGGTATTTATGAAAATTAATAAAAGTGTGTGAAACGTTGGAATATGTCACATATCCAAAAAATTGCTATGCCTCGCACGAAAGTGTTTTTGATTTTGTAAACATTAATTGAAATTTTGAATTCGCGCGACCTCCGACATGACATGACGGACTGAAAAATTTTTTTTAGGAAACTAGCCTATTATCACTCACCGTGACGGCATTGATGTCGCTCTCGTGTCCCGGGAAGGTCTGCTTGCACTGGCAGTCCCGGATGTCCCACAGCTTGGCGGACGCGTCGCAAGCGCCCGAGACGAATGTACGTTGGTCCGGCGCCAGAGACAGGGACATCACGTCGCCTGTGTGGCCTGTGAATTGCCCGCACTGCTGCCCGGTCTCGATGTCCCAGAGAGCGCTGTGGGAATGGAAATAAAGGGTTAGTTTACAATCAATACCACTGCCAAACTTCTGGCTGTATACAGGCTGTCCCAAAAAGTAGTGTCACCGCGACTTTTGATAGTTTTCTTTTTTGGTCAACATTCGTGTTTCGGCCTTTTTGGGGCAACCTGTATAGTAGACAGCAACGAGTTAATTTTTTGTTGCAGCTATTACAAAAGATGCCAATATGATGTGCTGCCGTCTGTATTAAAAAAAGGGTAATTTTGAGTCAATTTTTTAAAACTGCGAGTAAAGGAAACAGATGTGCCGCGAGCCCGGAAGNCCCGGAACAATTTTGGGTAAGCCATCTTCATTTCAAGTTAGAGTGATAGTGTTCTTTTGATAAATTCTAGAATCAAAAATGACTGAAAATAAGAGGAAACAAAATTCCGACAGTCAAATCGATTCAACTCTATGATCTACACCAATATGTGAGTCCCACATGGGAATTGAAACCAGGATTTGGAGACGGTCCACCTCTCCATGCATCTATCTATTGACGACTGTCTTAGCAACAAAATTTTGGACAACTCCCAAGATGGTGGCGCAATACAAATGCTGGTAAGTCCCACAGTAGTCCCTTCGGTATACCGACCAGGTCATGTCCCCGGAGCTGGTGAGGATCTGGTTGTCGTCCAGGAAGCGGCAGCACGACAGGTAGCCCGAGTGGCCGGGCAGTTCGCGCGACACGCGCACGTTGCCTTCGCGTGTCTTCAGGCTGTAAGGAGATAAGACACGTGTTATTGGGTTGTAATTAAAAAATAATGGTGATCAGGACATTTAGTCTCCACTGCAGGAGAATGAGCCACTGTAATTTAATAGAGACAAAAGAAACATTAAAATAACATTCAAATTATTTCATATCGTTTTATATTTCAGTCTGCATTCATTTCATCATCAGGTCATTCTGTCTTCACTGCAGGACCACCTCTCTTATCAAAGGCAAATGGAAGATTTCGCATACATCCCTACGCTGGTTAGATGGATTGGAAACTTCGTCTTTGTGGAGAGATTCGTCTCTCATTTTACTTCTCGTCCAGAATCAATTTCAGGTTGGCGACGTTGGCGCCCTTCAAGTCTTCGAAATATTCGTCACTTGGTTCTTCTGTCCTGATCTGATCTGTCTTCTTCTGCTGTTCTGAAGTTTTCCGAATACCAGGAGTATCTTTGCATTGCTATTTACAAAGTTTCTTTTCAACATTTTGTCTGTAGATCCTGTGATCTAACTCACCTGTAGATGGAGCAGATGTTGTCAAGCCCATTGCAAGCCACGTAGGATCCGAATGTAGGATACGCGCAGGTCACGACTCACGACGAGCGCAGCGGTATCGCGTGCGCCTTGTTGATGTTCCCCTCCCTCTCACGCAAAGGAAGATGCCAGCAAGAGTGACAGAGATAGACCTGCATCTTCCCTGCTAGTGCTGTCCCTGTGTATGTCCTCACCTGTAGATGGAGCAGATGTTGTCAAGCCCATTGCAAGCCACGTAGGATCCGAATGTAGGATACGCGCAGGTCACGACTCACGAGGAGCGCAGCGGTATCGCTTGCGCCTTGTTGGTGGTGCCATCCCTCTCACGCCAAGCGAGATGCCAACAAGAGTGACAGTGATAGACCTGCATCTTGCCTGCTAGTGCTGTCCCTGTGTATGTAACTCACCTGTAGATGGAGCAGATGTTGATGACCCACGAGGAGCGCAGNGATTTTCAAAATTCTTTTTTTGTTCGATAGGGTACACTTCTGAGGTGGTCCCATTGTCACCAAGTCAGGATCTGATGATGGGATCCTAGGGAAATCGAGAGCAACCCTCAAATTTTATAGGCACGTATATCGTTTTTCAAACTTTTTCTTAAGTTATTCATATATTTGCTCCTGGAAATCATCATCTCATATTGATGAGCTGATGATAGAAGGTAAAACTCCTTAATGCTTAGGAGTTGGAGGATAATTCTTTAAATATTATAAGTACAAATAGACCAACAGTTGTATTCTTTCATGTTTTTAAGGTGGGCTGACGGTTTAAGGTCTTTTTAGGTTTCCTATATGGTAACCTGAATTTTGTAGGGAATATTATTTTACACTAGACATGAAGAGTATGGTCTCAATGTACTGCCTACCTTCAGTGGTAACATCAAGGTAATAATTAGTTAACTAAAAAGCAATAAATAAGTAAAATTTTATAAAAAAAAATAAAACCGACTCCAAAAAACCTACATTAAAAAGTAGAAAAATAATTACTAATAACCTACTTATTTATTAGGACGAATTAATATTTATGTAGGTATACCATGATTGATACTTTTGGAGTCGGTGCAGGCAAACTTTACATGTTTCATAATCTTGGCACCGACTCCAGAAGTATCAATCATGGTATACCTACATAAATATTAATTCGTCCTAATAAATAAGTAGGTTATTAGTAATTATTTTTCTACTTTTTAATGTAGGTTTTTTGGAGTCGGTTTTCCCTGTTACTTCTGTCCCTGTGTATGTCCTCACCTGTAGATGGAGCAGATGTTGTCAAGCCCATTGCAAGCCACGTAGGATCCGAATGTAGGATACGCGCAGGTCACGACTCACGAGGAGCGCAGCGGTATCGCTTGCGCCTTGTTGGTGGTGCCATCCCTCTCACGCCAAGCGAGATGCCAACAAGAGTGACAGTGATAGACCTGCATCTTGCCTGCTAGTGCTGTCCCTGTGTATGTAACTCACCTGTAGATGGAGCAGATGTTGATGACCCACGAGGAGCGCAGCGGTTTCGCGTGCGCCTTGTTGATGTTTCCCTCCCTCTCACGCAAAGGAAGATGCCAGCATGAGTGACAGAGATAGACCTGCATTTTCCCTGTTACTTCTGTCCCTGTGTATGTACTCACCTGTAGATGGAGCAGATTTTGTCGAGCCCGCCGCAGGCCACGTAGGAGCCGGACGGGGCGTAGGCGCAGGTCATGACCCACGACGAGCGCAGCGGTATCGCGTGCACCTTGTTAGTGGTGCCATCCCTCTCACGGCAAGCGAGATGCCAACAAGAGTGACAGAGATAGACCTGCATTTTCCCTGTTACTTCTGTCCCTGTGTATGTCCTCACCTGTAGATGGAGCAGATGTTGTCAAGCCCATTGCAAGCCACGTAGGATCCGAATGTAGGATACGCGCAGCGGTATCGCGTGCGCCTTGTTAGTGGTGCCATCCCTCTCACGCCAAGCGCGATGCCAGCAAGAGTGACAGAGATAGACCTGCATCTTCCCTGCTAGTGCTGTCCCTGTGTATGTGACTCACCTGTAGATGGAGCAGATGTTGTCGAGCCCGCCGCAGGCCACGTAGGAGCCGGACGGGGCGTAGGCGCAGGTCATGACCCACGACGAGCGCAGCGGTATCGCGTGCGCCTTGTTGGTGGTGCCATCCCTCTCACACCAAGCGAGATGCCAGCATGAGTGACAGAGATAGACCTGCATCTTCCCTGTGTATGTACTCACCTGTAGATGGAGCAGATGTTGTCGAGCCCGCCGCAGGCCACGTAGGAGCCGGACGGGGCGTAGGCGCAGGTCATGACCCACGACGAGCGCAGCGGTATCGCGTGCACCTTGTTGGTGGTGTGGCTGTCCCACACAATCAGCTTGCCGTCCTGGCTGGCGGATACCAGGTTTCTGGGGAGAGGAAATCGAAATGAGCATGTTTTGTATTCATCTTACCAAAGTAAACCGGGTAAGGCACAAGTTTAATCATATGATCTACAAGAGACATTGCAATCAGCATGTTACCATCTTGGTAAACAAAGTTAGCTTATGTAAGGCCCAATGTTTGGCAGTTGGGCACAGGCTTAACTACAGCTATGCNGGTTGTACTTTACAAAACATAGATTGATATGGTAGTGGACAGTCCACTGGACACCCTATTCGATTGATATCCCTTTTAGCTGTCAAAACGCGACTCTCCCATAGATTTTGTATGGCAATGGGGACTATGATATCGGTCGCGAACTTAATTGACTGACCAGTTATTGATTACAAATCTTCTAAATATCTAATTTTACAGCCAATTTATAAGTAACTAATTTTTCAAGGATAGAATTCAGTTTTTTAGTACATATTGTTTTGGAAATAATGTTGCTCTGAATATTATGTGAATATTAAGACGACCCGTACCCGTTGTGTCACGCTAAGGCTGGTTTTAATGTCACGCAGACCGTCCGGTGCGGACCCGCTCCGCACGGCCAATCTGTATGAACTTCTAGGGAGCGTTTTAGACTCTAAAACCTCTAAAATTTAGAGTAATGCGGTCCGGAGGAACCGCTCCGCTCCCTAGCAGTTCATACAGATCGGCTGTGCGGAGCGATCCGCACTGACAGTCCGCGTGCGTGACACAACCAGCCTAAGACCCACAGACAAATTGGTAGCATCGATTAATATTTCATTCGGCACATTGCAACGACTCAATCGCGACGCCATTGTGACAGCGGACATTTTCATAAATTAATATTGATGTTGCACCAATATTCGGTGCAATATAACTACATTGTGCCAAGTACTAAATGTGTAATCTAAGACAATAAAGTTTGAAAATCTTTCCTATTCCGATAAACAAATAAAATTGTCTCAGGCTTCGCTTCAAAGTAAGAAAACTTGCACTGCCTGCCTAACCTGCCTTTAGTGCCTTTTAATTGTTAATTATGCAAATTTTGCAACAATTGTTTTTTCTTTTCAAATAAATAAATATTATTTCTTGGATAGACTGCTTACTTATACTGTAAGGGACTATAGTGAATTAGTGACAAAAACACTATTTTCATCCTTTACAAAAAGTCTGTTGTAGGCTTTACAAGATATCTCAAGAACGTAGAGTCTAAAATAAAGTCCCAATAATTAAAAAGGTCGTAAGTTACAAATATCGAGGCCTCAGACTGCCTGATTTAGAACTAGACTGATCTGAGTTACACTGAAAGGCTTTTAATAACTAGGTTAGTCTTAAATGATGCTAAACTTAGTCTTCACTGTTTTAGAATAGATGCCTGATGGAAGAATAGTTTTAAAATTTAGTTGTCATCGTTTCTGACAGCAAAATACAATGTTAACTTTATTATGTACTAACTAGCTTTTGCCCGCGGCTTCACCCGCGTGAATAGTTTGTCACAGATCGTCATAAATTATAGTTATTTTAGGTTATAAACAATAGTACTGTAAAGTTTAATCAAAATCCGTTCAGTAGTTTTTGCGTGAAAGAGTAACAAACATCCAGACATCCAAACTTTCGCATTTATAATATTAGTTATGTACTAATTTATTAATTTTTCGAGCATTTTTCGTTATAGAGTCGAAGTTAAATGGAGACACTGTAGAGCGGATAGAAAACAAGGTAAAACCAACCAAAGTAATGAAATTTCGACGCTTTATCGAGTTTGATGTTAAATCGAGTGATGTTATAAAGAGTTTGCAATGTATTTTATACTTGACGTAATTTCCTTGATGACATAATAGTAATATGTTAATCTGTCAATTGATAAATTTTTAATATTCCAGCGCGGCGCTAGACAACATAACTGTCAGGGGAAACGGAACTTCGTAACGTTATGACAATTTTTCTTTACAACTTCCGCGCTATACGATACACGATATAATCGTACAATGTTTGTTTGTTGGCCTTCTATTCGCAGTATTTTTAAACAACTATACCGTGTATTTATGTCATAATGTTAATGTGCAATTAAGAGACAACTACAAGTTCCTAAAATAGTACAAAAGAAGACTTAATGCTATAAAGCATTATAACAGTAGTATTAAAACAATCTGGTGACGTTTCAGATAGTGGTTGAATTGTCCAGTTTGTGTTTATTATTAACGGTTAGAACCGATATGAATTCGGTTCGTGTTTTGAACTCCATAAGCTGATCAATGGTCTTTTATTTTTTACCATCTGTTCGAGCCGAAATGAAACCTACGTGGTGCGGAGCGCAATAACGACACGCGTTTTTTACTGGCCACTTTTTTTATCTGTCAAATTTGTATTTTCTATGCATGTCACAATTTTGTTTTATACGCATAGTCCAGTAGAATTAGCTTTTAAATCGGAAATAATTCCTACAAAAGATTTTATCGTTTTAATGGCTTCATTGGTTGCCCATTAAGACTCTCCTAAGTTTTCGACTTCGACGGAGTTGTGCTTAAGTGGTGGGGGCCCCCGAAAGGGGCATTTTTTCGGTTTTCCGGTTATACCGCGTAAAGGACTTACCCTATCAAAAAGTGGTCTTCATGACGGTTGAAGGGCACTTAATTCTGCATTGAATAAGACCAAATTCATATGTTTTGGACAAACCGTTCTCGCGCTAAAGTTCGGCAAAGTAGAAAATATACGTATAATTAATGACCCTCTCCACGTCCAATGGCTTGTTACCCACATGCTTCCAAGCCTTGTAAAGGGTCGCCTTAACCAGTGTAACCCTAACAAGGCTCACGAGTTTGATTCGCTTATCCTTGTTCGTCCCAGCCGTTCCTTAACTGCGGTTGCTGCACCTCTTCCTGGCACTCTCCTGAACGACTCTGTGTTACCTAGAGTCTAATATTTTCTAATTATCTGTCTGACGGACAAATAATTGAAATTTTGTCATCTAGCCTAGTTGTCGTCAGGAAGGTGTTTGTTCCACCCGAACAAACATTTATGTAATTACCTACATCATAAATTGCAAGCTAAATAAAAGCTTGTAATAAAGTCGGGTTTGTTCAAATTTCGAGAACGACTGAACCGACAAAAGCATTAGAAAATTTACAAAAAATAAAATAAAATTTTATCCCGCACTTGAAATGTTCATGGATTTTGTTATTTTTATTAAATACTTTTACGCCTGAGTTAAATGACACCGACATCAAGGTTCATCAATTTAAGTTTAAAATAATAGGCAGTAATGTATGAAGAAAGAGCTTCTATTCTGTATCTACCTATGCCCGTGTATTTTTGATCGGTGTCAAATCGGAGTTTTTGGTGCGGGGTGCGCGGGTGTTGCTCGCGGCGTGAAGGTCAAACGCCCAAGGTCATTGAGGACTCTAATCGCCTTAATAGAGGCAAAAGAAACATTAAAATAAAATCATTGACATTCAAATTATTTCGTATCGTTTTATATTTGCTGGTTAGATGGATTGGAAGCTTCGTCTTTGCCGAGCCGATGATGGCCGATCGATGTCGAAGAAGCCCGAGGACCCGAGAAGCGCCAACACTTCTACTTCCCGTCCAGAACCAATTTCAGGTTGGTTGGTCTTCGAAATATTCGTCATTTGGTTCTTCTGTCCTGATCTGATCTGTCTACTACTGCTGTACTGAAGTTTTCCGAATACTAGGAGTATCTTTGCAGTTTGCACTGCTACTTACAACCTTCTTTTCATCATTTTCATCATTTTAAATAATAAATCTAATATCTACATTTTATCACACACTTAAAATGTTAGATAAATAGAATTTTGAAATTATGCAATTAATTCTATTTATTGAATCGGAATTCATTATTATACTTAGCGATAACAAATTGAATTGCGAATAATAACAATTAATGTTAAACCAGTACGTAAATTATTTACCTAGGATAATTATGAATAATGTTTGTTTTATATGGAATTTTTTATTGTTTTAAACAAAATTTTTATAATTATACATACATACACTTGCATTTTCGGCTTTTTACTTGGGATTGTAATTTATCCAATGCATGATTTACTTAAAATAGGAATGATGTTTGTTTTAATTATTGAAATTTTTATTATTTTAAACAAATTTTACTCTCAACTAATTTATTTTATATTTTATAATTATACATACACTCGCATGTTTGGCTTTTCACTTAGGATTGTAACTTATCCAATGTATGATTTTATTGTTTTTAATATTTTATTGTTTGTCTGCTAGCACATCACCTTATGTACCTAAGATACTATGCAAACAACCTGGGGGTGGAGCACTGGTGACCTGAATTACGGGTTTCTCTGAAACCTATATCAGGCACCAGTCTCACACACAAGATGCCTCAAATATGTAATACTCATTGTAAGAATGTAATTTTTGTATGTGAGAGAAATAAATATGATTTTAATATTATTATTATTTTGTCTGTAGAACTACCTACATTTTGTATCTAACTCACCTGTAGATGGAGCAGATGTTGTCGAGCCCGCCGCAGGCAACGTAGGAGCCGAATGTATGATACGCGCAGGTCACGACTCACGAGGACCGCAGCGGTATCGCGTGCGCCTTGTTGATGTTTCCCTCCCTCTCACGCAAATGAAGATGCCAGCAAGAGTGACAGAGATAGATCTGCATTTTCCCTGTTACTTCTGTCCCTGTGTATGTACTCACCTGTAGATGGAGCAGATGTTGTCGAGCCCGCCGCAGGCCACGTAGGATCCGAATGTAGGATACGCGCAGGTCACGACTCACGACGAGCGCAGCGGTATCGCGTGCACCTTGTTGATGTTTCCCTCCCTCTCACGCAAAGGAAGATGCCAACAAGAGTGACAGAGATAGACCTGCATCTTCCCTGTAAGTGCTGTCCGTATGTATGTACTCACCTGTAGATGGAGCAGATGTTGTCAAGACCATTGCAAGCCACGTAGGATCCGAATGTAGGATACGCGCAGGTCATGACCCACGACGAGCGCAGCGGTATCGCGTGCACCTTGTTGGTGTTCCATCTCACTCACGCCAAGCGAGATGCCTGCATGAGTGACAGAGATAGACCTGCATCTTCCCTGTAAGTGCTGTCCGTATGTATGTACTCACCTGTAGATGGAGCAGATGTTGTCGAGCCCGCCGCAGGCCACGTAGGAGCCGGACGGGGCGTAGGCGCAGGTCATGACCCACGACGAGCGCAGCGGTATCGCGTGCACCTTGTTGGTGGTGTGGCTGTCCCACACAATCAGCTTGCCGTCCTGGCTGGCGGATACCAGGTTTCTGGGGAGAGGAAATCGAAATGAGCACTTGTTTTGTACTGCTAAACTAAGTAAGCACGTGACCATGGCTGTAGCTACACAACTGAAACGGGGTCTGACGCAGAATATGCACTTCGCAAAATTCTTCTATACTATAAATTAATGTAAAGGCTGACTTTCTTCGTATGCATAATATTGGTTTTGTTTTCTATTTCTAAAGAAAGCCTACCTAATATCGATCTTTGTATCTAAGGGTTTACTTATTCATCACTTTTCATTGATAGTTGTCGTGGATAACAAAGAATAAAGATATAAGAAGCACATAAGATCTTCGATCTTGCTTGAAATGGTATCAATATGATTTTCAATGTAACATGAAATATTTAAATTACTTTTACAAATTTCCTCTAGCTTGGCCAAGATTTGTTCTTTGAATACCTGGTATGCCTTACTATCCCTAGTAAGTTATGTATTTACTATACCACAGTCCAGATAGGGCGGGGCGCAATCAATTCAAACTGATATGAAAACGAAATAAAAGATGCACAGATACGTACGGCCATCAGCACATCAAGTTTAACTCTGGCACCTTATGTCGTTAGTAATAAGTTGCATTTTGCAATACCCATGCATAGTCCGATGTGCCTGAAAGATTCACCCGTGCGCTGCAGGCGGCGTCCGATCGATGGGCATGCGTGCGTACATTTCATTTATTCATTAACCCGCCATAGCTCGCGGGAAATTACAAAGCGCCATTGATGGACAGTTTATAAATAGCCTGCGCTATTATATTTGCATTGAATGCTTTAAGAGAGGGGGCAGCAAGGTTCTGGAATGGAGGCCGCGTACCGGAAAAATGCAACGTGGGACGTCCACCCACAAGGTGGACCGACGATATCAAAAAGGTAGCAGGAAAGCGCTGGACGCAGGCCGCTACCAATCGATCAACATGGAAAGCATCGGAGGCCTATGTTCAGCAGTGGACGTCCTATGGCTGAAATGATGATGATGATGATGATGACTTTGAGATTGTAAGTGAAGCGCCCTTTTCTAGGCAATATACTGTTGGATATAAAATGGAAAGAAAATAATACACTCGACGCGATTCAACGCGTCACTCTATTGACTCCGTCTGTACGAAAATAAGATCCATCCATATTACGTTGAGAGCTAAATGGAAAAATCTGTTCCATTTTTGGATACTGAAAGTCATTTGTATTTTTACTTTGATATTTATTCATTCAGAAAGGGTTTCGAACATGTGTGTTCACCGCCGCTACCAACCGGGCAGCATGGAAAGCATTGGGGGAGGCAGAGGACGTCCTATGGCTGAGATGATGATGATGTGTGTTCACACGACAGTCCAGTTTGCGGGATCCTGCATTACTGAATCCCGCAAAACTGGATTCCCGTGGGAACGAGCCCTTATATTCAACAAAGCCCACCATAAAACACTCCCATCCTTTATAAAACCAGCCATTTCGTCGCGTATGACATACTACCTACTACCGCACTAGATTAAAGATGTTGGATCCGGGTGAGGTATCAGGGAATCAGGGTATCCGACAAAGAATCATGTGTAAGCTTAACGTGATCCAGGGAGATTGATGGACCCGCCAGCTTCCCAGGCTCAGTGGTATCTCAGAAGCCTATCAGGCCTACCCGCGGGTACACGATTAACATATTTGGGTCGGCCATTCGGAAGTCGGTTGTAATGTCAAGGATTTGGTATAAGAAAAACTATGTAGAAAGGATAAAATAATGTTTAGAACTTACAAAGGTTTTGCCTTTTCAGTGCACCTAAAAATTAGATAATATGTCATTTTAGGAGCTATGCCCATCGTTTAGTATAGATTTATAGATAGAACGACGGACGCGACGGTCACTAGTTCACCAATCCTTGCAAATATTTTTGGTTTCGAAGTAGGAAAACTATAATCTTAAATTAATAGCAATCTAATTGGGTTTTCAACCGACTTCAAAAAAAGGAGGAGGTTCTCAATTCGACCCGTATGTTTTTTTTTTTTTTTTTTTCTATGTTTGTTACGCGATAGCTCCGCCAATTATGAACCGATTTGAACAAATCTTTTTTCAGCGTATAGGTAATATCTCAAGGGTGTTCCCATTTAAATTTAATAATAAAAAAAACAACCCCCAAGGGTGGAAAATTGGGGATGAACTTTTTTATACGCAATATCTCCGCCGATTATAAACCAATTAGAACGATTACTATTTTGTTGAATAGGTATTATCAAAAGGGTGGTTTCATGCGAATTTGAAGAAAATATTTCACCCCCAAGTGTGGAAAATTGGGGATGAACTTTTTTATACGCAATATCTCCGCCGATTATGAACCAATTTGAACGATTATTTTTTTGTTGAATAGGTATTATCAAAAGGGTGGTTTCATGCGAATTTGAAGAAAATTTTCACCCCCAAGGGTGGAAAATTGGGGATGAACTTTTTTATAATATACATTAAGAATATGGTCTCAATGTACTGCCTACCTTCAGTGGTAACATCAAGGTAATAATTAGTCAACTAAAAAGCAAGAAATAAGTTAAATTTTATAAAAAAAAATAAAACCGACTCCAAAAAACCTACACTAAAAAGCAGAATAATAATTACTAATTACCTACTTATTTATTAGGACGAATTATTAATATTTATGTAGGTATACCATGATTGATACTTTTGGAGTCGGTGCAGGCAAACTTTACATGTTTCATAATCTTGGCACCGACTCCAGAAGTATCAATCATGGTATACCTACATAAATATTAATAATTCGTCCTAATAAATAAGTAGGTAATTAGTAATTATTATTCTGCTTTTTAGTGTAGGTTTTTTGGAGTCGGTTTTATTTTTTTTTATAAAATTTAACTTATTTTGTGAAATAAAATGAACTGCTTTTAGACAAATTTGTCCATAGAAGGATCGTTTAAGCCTAGGCGCAGACCACCAACTTTATTTGGCCGATAGTTGGGTCCGATTCTAATTTGTATGAAGAATCGGCCGATATCAAATCGGTGTAATGTGAGCACTTTCATACATCTCCATACTGATCAACAGCCCGACCCAACTATCGGCCAACTAAAAGTCGGTGGTCTGCGCCTAGGCTAATGAAGACAACTAACTTCTCAACTATTATCGAAACAATCTAGATACCTACATGTGATATCAAAAACATCCACGTTGCATCGTACCGAATCATAAAAATCGTTACTCCGATAATTTCTCGGAAAGGGCGCACGCGCCGTATATCCAGTGCAGTTTTATTATTCGAGGCGCAGCCCGGGAATTTGATCTGGGAAAATCATTGCACTGCACCAATTATTGTTTTTCTCAGTAACGTCGTTTCCTCGGAAATGCGAACTTGTTTACGTTGTTGCGTTTGCTTCCGAACAGTCGCTTTAAAACTGCCATTGGTAGATAGAGGCAACTGTCAGAGTTGTATTTACTGCATTCGGTTCCCAGATGTAGTATTGAGGTAAACTCACCCTATCATTAACCTTTTTGGTATTTGGAGCATTTTGGTAATAGGTAAATTGGAGCGAAAAGTACGCTAACGAAATCATTCAAACTTTCAAAATGGGTGCGCTTCAAGGAATACCTCAAATTATGACGCTGGATTTTGACAAAATGTAACAAGCAAATAAATAAAATGCAACTAAATTATATCATCGTACGTCAAGGGACCGCTGATAATATCATGGACTGTTTGAACCACTTACTTTAAACGGGGATACAAATGGAAAATGGGAAATGTCCGTATTCGCGTGCATTTTCCACGGATCAAATAATTTTCATTCGGAGGACAGTAAGTAGTAGAAATTAGAATAGACTCCTTAATTCATTTCAGGTTATAAATAAACCTTCTTATAAATCCATCATGAACAATTATTCTAAAGTTACTCAATGTACAGAATTCCAAGTATTGCACCACTCTACACTTACAATTTTTCATCGTATGAATATTTATGAGGGGAAAGCCGTACAGTCGTCATCGTAAAGGTTTTAGAATTTCTATATTTATGACTCAAGAAATAAAGAGTAATAACAATTAATGTTTTTTAACGCGACTGTACATTACTTTTCCGTGTTTATATGTATACTCGCGTGTGATACCACACACATAGTTTAATTATAAATCCCAACTAATATTATAAATGCGAAAGTAACTCTGTCTGTCTGTCTGTCTGTTACGCTTTCCCGCTTAAACCTCGCAACCGATTTTGATGAAATTTGGCATAGAGATAGTTTGAGTCCCGGGAAAGAACATAGGATAGTTTTTATCCCGGTTTTTGAAACAGGGACGCGCGCGATAAAGTTTTTCTGTGACAGACAAAATTCCACGCAGGCGAAGCCGCGGGCGGAAAGCTAGTAGATGAAATAAAAAGTAGATATGCGTTACTTGTTATTAATGACTGTGTCGACAGTCCTAGTAATGTACTAACTTTAATGTGAAAGTTTGATGTGTTACTTTTTCGCGCAAAAACTATCGAACGGATTTTGATGATATTTTTCATTTATTATTGTTTATAACATCAAAATAACTTAGGCTATATAGGCTGAAATTCATAACAATATTGAGTTAATTGGTAAATTTGCAACTAAGTATCAAGTAAGTCGATATTTCTGTGATAAACTGAATTTCATAACTGAAGCCACTATTTCATAATATTGGCATGATTCTAAATAAGTACTTTAAGGATGAGTTGCATCATCTTACTTCAATTTTAAAAAACATCAAGACTGTCAAACTCCATACAAAAACACCGGTTAAGGTTATAGTTACGGTTAAAGTAAGATGTAGCAACTCAGCCTCATAAATTCGATTGGGCAGACTGCAGACGTGACATTTCGTAATCGTAACTCGTAACACACGAGTCCTGGGACCGGCGGTCTGCACTGCGCATGCGCGAACCGGGCGCGGCACCGTACCGCCATTATGGTACAGACAGCATACCAAGTTCAACGCTATAGCATTGTGATAGGTGATATTTTGCAATAAATGGCAAT